TTCCGATTTGCCATTATAATAGTAGTAAGTTTAGTAACTATCTCAGACCCAAATAAGTTATTTGACACTGGTAACTTCTGATATCAAAGATTTCAAAGCCATACGCTAAACATTTTCACAATTAATGAGCAAAAACTAAAACCTATTGCAATTATCCCCCTTCATCCAGAACCATTATAATGTATGAATCACATCACATAAACCTGTGTATTATCCTCTCACATGCCCTATAATCAAAATCAGCTGTTAATTCAGTACTATACATCTCTCTGTGCATCTGAAACCGGATCAGTGGGTAACACAACTGTCCCGTGGCAGCCTGGGTCATTTTACCATAGCTTGCAAGTTTTATTTAATTGTTTATAAGCCTCAACAGAGACTGCGTACAACATGGGTACACCAGAGAAAAAAGAACATGGTTTAATCCAGTCCGGCCATTGATCTAAAATGAGTGAGACACCCCTGGGTTAGAGGCTGTCAGAGACCTGCTAAGATGAATAGTGCAGTTCCACTCCAATCTATTAGTCACGTAACAGGCCTAAACAGCTCATGCATTATTTCTAACTGGTTTAATAGTGAAACAATAGGACAAAGGACAAAGCCAGCTGTGGTGCAAGGCCAACTTCCAATTCAGCATTTGTGACAGATATTTGTGCAAAACTATTTCACTGATAAAAGGAACTAATTATTAAAAGCATGTGCACTATTTTGATATTTGTGATGAAATTAGGGTGAAATCCAGCGAATGTGACACTAGTACAGTATGTGCTAATATTGTTACAGCGATCTTGTGTTTTTATGTGAGCTTTTGGACTAAGGTAATGATTTGATTTTATATATTATAGAAGGCAGTATGATCACATTAGGCACTGGATAAACTTGGTAAACCTTTATGGGAGAATCACACTCACTTGTAGTGGTACACACTGTATAAAGTTTGTGGTCAATACGATTTTTTATGTTTTTGAGACAGTTATTTTAAATTGTAATAATATTTCACAATATTACTTCTTACTGTATTTTTTATCCAATCCAATCCATATATGAAGAGTTCAGATGCAAAAGCCTCTAAATGCCATTTGACATTTTCTTCTTTAATGATGATATTTATCAAACTTGTATATTTAAGTTCAGTAATTTCACTTAAATGGCAATGATAATTACCTATTAATTGTTAAGTGAAATTACTGAACTTAAATATACAAGTTTGATAAAAATGATCATTAAAGAAGAAAATTTCAAATGGAATTTAGAGGCTTTTGCATCTGAACTCTTCATATATATATATATATATATATATATATATATATATATATATATAAAAGTCACTAGACACAACACATTTATATATATAAAAACATGTTCTTATAAAATATATTTGTAAAAAGAAGACCAATCTTTCTCTAATTAGTGGAACATATTTTGCCAAGACATGTCACGAAACAGTCAAACAAGCTTTTAATTATGTAGTTGAATATTGCGTAAAAAATTCTTGCTTTTTAAAGATTCTCGAAACTGATTCGGAGTGATTTCTATATCCTGAATTCATGCCGGTGAAAATCGTGTGGCTTTAAATGGCAGTGAAACATATTACAGAACAAAAGGACTCAGTATTGTGACATTATAGAGGTAAATCTCCAATAAGTGTTTTTTTTATTATTAAATTTGCTTTAGAAAATGTACACACATTAAACAATCAACATGCACAGCTTTACTATATACAATCCAATTCTTTTCAATATGAAAACGGTATTCAGCTTGATTACATCATCTCACAGAGATAAGTATTAAACAATGCATTAATACAGAAATATCACAACATCAGGTCAAGTGTTGTTACAGGTATTCGACATATGGAAGGTTGATGTATTTGAATCTAACACGCAAGTTAATCTCGATCTCGCAATCCACTACATAATGTTCCCGCGAATCAAACTGTGACAGGCACCGTCAAATTGCTTTACTTTTAAAGGACAACACTTGACCTTTAACAAAAAACCCATTACAAGTTTGATGTCATAAAACTGAACCAACAAAACAATACGTACAAAATACAAAACACTTTTACCTTTTTCTCTGAAGCAATCACAAAAACCAATGAATTTTTTTTTTTCAAAAACTTTTTTTTTTTTTTTACATTTATAATAAGCACTTAAGGATCTCAGATGAAGTACTCTAAAGCAACTCCAGGATAAAAAAATATGAATAACATCCACAAAATGGCCTGACAAATAATAATAAGCACTTAAGGATCTCAGATGAAGTACTCCGAAGCAACTCCAGAATAAAAACATGAAGAATATCCACAAAACGGCCTGACAACCCAGAACAAAATACAAAAGTCCCAACAGTCACCGAAATGTCAGCAGCCATTATCAAAGGTTAAATCAAAATCATGCAGCAGCCTTCATCCCGGACACACGAAAAAACACACATCCAAGAGCTTCAACAGAGTTTGATGTGACATCTATATTGTACGGCAAGTCTGTGGGGACAAAGCACTCTCACTTCAGACTGCTTCTTATTTGACCTTGCATATCAAAACCAAGGCCGAGTGTGCGGGGCGGCCCTAGAGTCTCCTCAAATCTGCGTGAAAGGCCCTTTGAGTGCGGTCATCCCAAAATAACAGAGAAAGGAAGGCGGCTACGTCCCTTTCGTGAGGAGAAACAAAAGCAAACCTGCTCCTCGTCCGCCTCACATCCATCTCGTCTCGTCTGTCCTAATCACCATTATTCCCTTGCAGATTTGGTCAAAAGCCCCCGTAGGGCGCTCTGTAATTTATTAGCGCGCTTTAATGGCCTCTACATCACGGGAAGGATCAGTCAAATCGTGTGCTTTCGGGTCATGTCTCTCAATTTTTCATTATTCTTGTGTTTTATATATTGTGGCTGCAAAGTCTGAGGAGAAGTATAAGAAGTATAAGAATTATTTACCGGGACTAAAAGAGTCTAAAGCAATCGGCGTAAGCAGATTTTTTCTTTCCTAAACGCATCTGATTCAGCTGATAAAGGCCCTGAGGAGCATCTGGTTGAGTGGCCTAGAAAGCGAGAATGAAACAAATAAAACACAAGCTATTTATCTGAGCTTTGCTAAAACAAGCTTCAAATACATAAAGTAGCAGACAGGCACAGAAGAACAAGTCACGATGTACATGGCTAGGAAAAACCAAAAACAAAGTGGCATTTTGCAAGCGTTCAGCATTTTGGGTTTGAGATGCGGCAGACGTTTGCAGTATCCAGCGCTGCCGTCGCTTTAAAAAATAGAGATGCGCTGATATCTGTACTATCTGTGCTCGCTCAGACGTAACAGCCTGCAGATAACCAGAGGGCAAAGAAAATAACACAAGCTGACATCTGATTTGCTGTTATATATAAAAACAACTTTAAATGGAGTCAAGAAGGAATTGAGTTTATGCTGTAGAGCTTTGTGTTAAAACCGATTATTAATGCGTCAAACATGTCCGATCAGTCTCACGTTACTGTCAACGCATTCTCACCCCAAGGCGTCACCTTTGACCATGCTTCAATATTTGACGTTTTAGGCGCCCTTTAGCGTCACTTACATGACGCGATCCTACGACGTCATCTAACTGACACTAAAGGAAAGCGTCAGTTAGAGGACGCGGTTAGGTTTAGGTGTGGGGTGGGGGTAGGGTACACGCGATCCTAGGGCGTCATCTAACTGACGCTAAAGGGCGCCTAAAGCGTCAGATATTGAAGCATGTCCAAATGCTTCCCAAGGCGTCAGTTAAGTGACGCCTTGGGGGTGAGAATGGGCTGTTACTGTACCAGCGCTATTGCAAATATTTGGTACTGGAGGAGATCAAAATATATTTCAAAAAATAACATGTCAAAATAATATAATACTTGAGCTATCCCTTGTGGAAAAGAAGTACACTTAAGCATTATTTTAAAAAGACTAATTATTAATACACATATTCTATCGTCTTTGTAAATATAGTTAAAGTGTACTGCTGATTGTATTGACAAGCATTTGTCAATACTTTAATGTTCTTTCTATTGAAACTTGTCATGTATTTAAATCTTAAAATGAAGCTGCAATTAAGTACATTTTAAAAAAAAATATTACCTTTAAATGTAATATCGAGTAATCTTTAGTATGTTAGTCAACACATCGGAATAAGTGTATTTCTTTCAAAGCATGACAAAACATTATTAAAACACAATTAAATTGTTCTTTAGGTTACATTTTATTTGGTAACACTGTTTTAAAGTGTCATTGTTACACGTTACATGTCCATACCATAGTAATAACAGTAAATTGTGCATGCAACTAACCCTCAATCAAACCTTGATTATACCCTAATCCTAATCCTATAATAAGGACATGTACATAATATTTCTCAGTTCTTAAAGGAGTAGTTCACTTTTTTTAAAAAAACTTTTGCTGATAATTTACTCACCCCCATGTCATCCAAGATGTCCATGTCTTTCTTTCTTCAGTCGAAAAGAAATTAAGGTTTTTGATGAAAACATTCCAGGATTTTTCTCCATATAATGGACTTCAATGGGAACCAAACGGTTCAAGGTCCAAAAGACAATTTCAGTACAAACTGCAAACTGTTCAAAGGGCTTTAAACGATTTCAGACGGTGAATAAGGGTCTTATCAAGCGAAACGATCGCTCATTTAAAAAATAAATAACAAAGTTTAAGTTTTATAAGCTCAAATGGTCGCCTTGCTCTGTTCTGTGATGAGCGTTCGTGACTCTCCTGTTCGAACTCATTTATCAAAATGAACAAATCTTTTTTGTGTCATTTGGTTCATTCAACGAACAAAATGAACGAGTTGACTCTGGAAAAGATTCGTTCATTTTGATGAACAAGTTCGAATAGGAAAGTCACAAATGCGCATAACAAAGCAAGACGACCATTTGAGCTTATAAAACTTTAACTTTGGATTTTTTTTTTTAAATGAGCGATCGTTTCGCTTGATAAGACCCATCTGGAATCGTTTAAAGCCCTTTGAACAGTTTGCAGTTTGCACTGAAACTGAAATATTTAAGTACCGAGTAATAATAATTAACTACATGTACTTACTGTAGGATAAGGGTTAAGATTAGGGTGAGGTTTAGGGTTAGTTGCGTGTAACTATGCACAATTTATAGTAATTACTATAGTAACTACATGTAACGTGTAACAATGACACTGTAAAATAAAGTGTTACCGTATATTAAAGTAAAAATTCCAATTTATAGAAGTGTATCAAGGAACAGAGGCCCTGTTTCAAATGGCACACTTCATTTGTACTTACAGTCTCGTGGACTTACAATGGCTGCCATACTCGCGTGATCGTGAAGTCCACCAGACTATATAGGGTGTCCGATTCGTCATTTTAGGTTTCAAAAGGGTGCTCGTGGGCGCCCCCTTTGCGGTCGATATCTAGTCTACAAGCCCATGAGCTCTGTTACAGACTACTTCCCAAAAGTGCAGACTCATTGGAAGACAGCAAGAGTTTATGGTGCCATTTTGGACAGGGCCTAAGTTAACTCTTTAAGTACACTTAAGTGGCCTTTTATTAATATCATTAAGTAAAGTTTTTAAAAATATATACTTTGAAGTACTTTAAAAATGCATATTAAATACTATTAAGTGCACTTCTTTTTTTCAAGGGATGATAAAGTGATAATACTGAAAAATGGGTCATCAAAATGTGGCTTTATCACTCCAGACTTGCTGTTAGTGTGGAAAGAAAGCCTAATAATGCTCATATACTGTAAAAAATTGGTTGCTCATCTCAGAATTACATTTTCACACACCTATTACTAAAATTACATTTCTGATAATAAAAAAAGAATGGCATTTCTTCAATAAACCAAATCGTTTATGACTTAAGTGTCGAAAGGCTTAATTCAATTTTGAACATCTCTAGCATATTTATAAAAGCCCAATTACTTCCTTGATGTCATTATGATAATTACTATGTCGTCGTGAGTGTAGACGATTTTACCTAGAACTTCTCCTAGTGTTAACGCAGATGCAATGTCACAAAATCTGTGAATGCAGCACTGTGGCCATCATGAATACTGGAGGCTTTTAGGTGCCTGGAGCAAACAAAAACAAGCCTTGTGTGTGTGTGTGTGTGTGTGTGTGTGTGCACGCTAAAACATAGATAAGGCACAGAGACAACTCTTGAACAAATAACTGAAATGGTAAGCAAGGGCTAAATATTAATTAATGATGTCATTACAAAAAACAACAACAAAAAAACAAACAAACAGTAGCTTAAAGGGAACGTTTACACCTTCTGTCATCATTTACTCGCTCTCACGTTGTTCCAAATGACTTACTTTCTTCTGTGGTTAATTTTTAAAGCACACACTGGCTGCTGTTTATTATAATGAAAGTGAATGAGGACTTCTGACACCGAAACACTAAAAAATGACTTGCTATATGCCTAGTCATCTTAAGTGATCTAACAGTTTTAACCAGTATACTGTAATGTAAGATGTTAAGTACTTTTCCATTGCTGGTTTATAAGAAAATAAAATTAACAATATTCGATTCATGAATAAATTGTTCTTTCGAGTTTAATCAGTCGATCCTGTTCACAAAAAAATCGTATTTCTCGCGTAATGTTCACCCGGCGCAATGTGGCGAAACGCAAGTGTTTTTTGCTACTTTCAGCCTGACGCACTTATCATTTTTTCGTCTTGTGCTACGTGTTTTAAATAGCAAATGCATTTTCACCTATTTATGCGCCCATGGGCGCACTGGTCTGAAAACAAGGTGTGTTCGGGCGCATTGCTGGATCGTTGCTATTTTGATGAAACTGAAATAGACTGCGCCAACTGAAACCTGGTCTAAAGTCAATGGCGCAATATTGTTTTCGTTATTTAAAGAGTGTGTTAGTAATGTGCGCCAATAGGCGGGTCCACTATGTGCTTAACACTCTGATTACTACACACACAGGGACACACACAAACTAGCCAAATATGATAAATACAAGGATTACAATGTAAAAGACTTTTGTGTACATAAAGATTTGATGGAATCTGGTAAACCTCACACACGAGCAGATCCGTTTGCGCTCTGGAGAAGCGTTTAGTCTTTCCGCTTGCAAAGTCCGCCATTGTAAATAGCGAATCCGCCGTGGCGCAAGTGCAACTGGCTTTTTAAGGGAATGGGAAATGAGACTCTGGTTACGCCCAAAACACACCCATTCCTCATTAAGAAAATAGGGACGTATCTTTTAGACAATGTGCTGGGCGCGCAAACCATCTTTTCCCATTGTTAAACTAGGACTTCCTTTAGACCATGCTCTTAGATCCTTAAAATAGGGCCCTCCATTTCCATTCGTTATAGTTACAGTACGTGGGAATGAGCGCCCAGCACGCAAAATTCCTTTTTTGTGTCCCACAGAAAAACAAAAGTCACACGGCAACAACATGAGAGTAAGTAAATGTTTTTTGGGTCAACTAATCCTTAAATGAATGATGTGATAATTACAAAACAATCACAATATTACCCAACAGAAGCTTAGTACAAAGCAAAAGGACGTTAACTACTTTGGCATGTACATGGAAGTAAGGCATTTGTTCTTAGGGATCAATGAGAAGATGCAATCTTAGTGCAGTAATATGACTCATCCCACCTCATACACCGGTTTGCTGCAAAAACCTTCATCTGTAACCTTGTTAGGGTCTCGGATCACTTAAGAGACAATGATACACAGTACATAACATGCACACGAAATCCGACCACCGTGGCGCCGACGTTTTCCCGTTACGCTCCTCAAACGGTTCGCTAGGCATTGCCTCAGATAACGGAGAGATGGATCAATAATCTTGCCTCAGAAGTGTTTTGGTGCACCTCTCCAGCGATTCCACGGCGAGGAAGAGCACGGCCAATCACACTGGCCGGAGGACGTTCGATCCTATAGAGTGTTAACACAAAGCCGGTTGCAGTGTCGATAATGCGATGATAGAAAGCAAGGAGGCTGGGATGGTGTTGGGCCGCCAGGCTCTGGACCCTCGTACGCTCATACCTGGAATATGGAAGACAGGTCCTTAAGACGCCGAAGAGGATTAACTTGTGATTATGAATAGGCTACAAATAGACTCGGAAGCAATAACGAAAGGCATCATCAGGATTTTTGACATCTGTGACTAAACGGAGATGTGTGTAAACTTTAAAATACAGTAGTCAACATTTGAAGTGGATCAAAATCTTTCATCAAAGTTAAACATGAATTTTGAACAATACCCATTCTTGTCTTAGGACAACTTTGATGAACTTTTTTGACCCATTTCAAGTGGAAATTGAAGGTCATAAAACTATTAAATAGTAACAAACATTAATTATTTTAAGAGGTTTTACATTTGGGAAATAAAAGAATTTGATTTGATTACGTTTTGAGTGGATGGCGAGCGCGAGACGCCGAAATGGATGCCAATAAGATTCTGAATGGAAATATTACTTTTAAAAGTTGCCAAATTCAATCGACAAGACCAAAGTGATCTGTGTGTTTTGTCGTTGTGAACTGAGCCATCATCATCACAGCACGTCCCAGTCTGAAATACCACTTGATGATGGCCAAGCACACACACACACACACACACACACACAGCTGATGCGACTTCTCTGCCCCCTCGTCAATATCAGGAACTCGTCAGTATTTCTTTCGCCCTTTCATCGATGGACAGTTACATTGTGTGAGAGATTATTTGCTCCAAGTGAGAATGTTAGTGTGAAATTGAACACAGTATATGCCAACGTTGTTTAAAAAAAACAAAAAAAAACAAAAAAAAACAACAACAACAATTGCACAAAGAAAGCCAATCCACTTTTCCATGTTGATAAGAGCATTAAATTGCAAAAAAATAACGGGACAAAAAGAAATCAAGAGACATTTAAAACAGATTAAAAAGTGCGATTAATCGCGAGTTAACTATGACATTAATGCGATTAATTGCGATTAAATATTTTAATCGTTTGAGAGCAGTAGTTGTAATTCATAAATGCTTTACAGACCTAACGTTGCTCTCTTTTTAAAGAAGACACTCAGCCGAAGTGAAAGCAAAAAAAATGAAAGTTATAGAAGTTTAAGTTTACAGTACAGCAAATGTACTGAGCTAAACATTTTTATAGTAAATATATATTTTACAAAATTGCTAGAAAATCACATGTCTAACCAAGTGGATATGACAAAAATTGAGCTCATTATAAGGTTTTAAAGTACAGTTTCCATGGTATGGTTAAAGTCCCCGTGAACCGGAAGTTGCAAACGATTTTTCTCCAGTGCTGTGACGTATTTCCAAGTGAAACGGAATATTGAACAGAGGGCAGGGTTTTACACTAGCGCTCCTCCTCTCCATCTCTCGCTCATAGCAAACTAACGGTTTGAGGGGAGTGGTTAAACGTTTCCCCACCCAAGCTGTGAAAAACCTACGTCATCAGAAAAAGAAACCGTTCCAGACCGGAAGTAACTTTTCAGATTTTGATTAAAGATTACGAAGGTAAAACATTTTTTTAATACATATTTACTTAATTGATTAATTGTTCACCACAAGACTAGTAATATGCGCTAACAAAGTAAATAGGTTCAATTTTGATTTCACGGGGACTTTAAGCTTTCAAATGATACCTAATTTATGATGATTACTAAAATATGAGAAAAGTCAACGAAAGTCAACAAAAAAGTGCACAAAGCGTCCCGCTACCGGGACACTGACAGTTAAAGGGATGGTTCACCCAAAAATGAAAATTCTGTCATCATTTACTCACTACTACCATAATACTATTGAAGTCAATAGCTACAGTCAATTGTTTGGCTGCCAGCATTCTTTAAAGGAACACTCCGACTTTTTGGGACTTTAGCCTATTCACCTTACCCCCCAGAGTTAGATAAGTCCATACATACCTTTTTCATCTCCGTGCGTGCTATAAGTCTGTTTGACGCACTCACCGCTAGCCTAGCTTAGCACAAAGACTGGATGTGACTGGTTGCAGCTTTCATACTAATCCAAATGAGTGGCAAAATAACGCAAACGTTTTCCTATTTACATGTTGTGATTTGTATAGTCACATAATGTACAAATAACAAAGTCAAATGAGACACAGACATCTTTTAACCGTATAAAACCTGGGAACTATTCTCTGAAGGCGAAGCACTGCTACTTTGACGGCGTAATAACCGCATCACCGGAGACACGCTGTGGTGAGGAGCGGAGAGTTCGCTCGGTGTTTGGGTAATAGAGTCAGCAATTTATAAACAGTAAAAGCGTAGTTTAGAGTCATGGGTTTTCGCTCTATTGTAAATAGCTGCGACTGTAAACAGGGGAGGTAATACCATGTTTCACAGAATATATTGATTCCTGTAATAATAATTATTTATTCATGTGATATTTATAAATCTGGGTGCGTTTTTGGTTGGAAATCAATGAAACATGGTACTGTATTACCTGGTCTCCCCTGTTTATTGTCACAGCTCATACAATAAAGCAAACACCCATGATAAACTATGCTTTTCTATCTAACTCCAACACTGAGCGAACACTCTGCTCCTCGTCACGGTGCGTCTCAGGTGATTGTTATCACTCTGCCCAAGTAGCAGTGCTTCGCCTTCAGAAAATATAGTATTTATACGGTTAAAAGATGTCTGTGTCTCATATGGCCTTGTTATTTGCACACTCTGTGACTATACAAACCACAACATGTAAATAGGAAAACGTTTGCGTTATTTTGTCACTCATTTGGATTAGTATGAAAGCTGCAACCATTCACATCCAGTCTTTGTGCTAAGCTAGGCTAGCGGTGGGTGCGTCAAACAGACTTATAGCACGCACAGAGATGAAAAAGGTATGTATGGACTTATCTAACTCTGGGGGGTAAGGTGAATAGGCTAAAGTCCCAAAATGTCGGAGTGTTCCTTTAAGATATCTTCTTTTGTGTTAAACAGATGAAAGAAAGTTGAGAATGACAATGAAAATATTTTTATTTTTGATTCTTGTAAATGTGTCCTTGTACCCTTTTATTACTTAAGAACAAAAGTCATTAAGTCATTTAAGATATTAAGTTTCATTGCGCCCCTAAAGTTGACATTTTTCAACTTAGAGCACATGTGAGCGTCAAGTCCTAACCGTTGGGAATTGAAGGAGGAAATGATAGTCCACCACTCTAAATCTGGTGGTGGACAGTCTTGTGCTCTGTGCTCTGTTTACATCCACTTACAGTAGACGCTCACTGAGCAGTTTTGTCTGTTTTGAATGACTAACTAATTAATGCAAAAGCACGTTGGAAAACCTTGCCATTGGCACAGCTAATCATTTCCATCATTAACAACCGTAAAAGCCATGGCTTTTTCGTGAAAGCGGGGCATTGCAGGCCATTAAATGAAAAATGTGAACAATAAGCCACAGAGAAGAGTCGCCCCTTGCAGTTGCATCAGCCGGTGACGTTATATCCATGGGGGAACGGAGACGGGAGCGGGACAAGATAGATGGCGAGAGCTTGGGCTAGTTAATAAAGATCAGACTGCTTAGCCCAGTGGAGAATAAAAGGTGTACGAGGAGGACACATCAAATCAGTGAGAACTCATTTAGAGATGCGCATTAAACTCTGTGGGCTGCCGTAACAGAACGTCTACACTGCAAACTGCACCTGCGCTGTTCACTCGGGGGAACAGGACGAGAACATTATGAGGTCAACTGTGCATTGTTTATTTTATAGGGGCCTGTGTGTTTAATATCTCTTTGGCATTGGATATTTATCTTTTACATCGTGGGCCTTGAAAAGCGGAGGGCAGTGAATGTGCTTTGCACACGCCTGCAGGTTTAACTCATGCACGCAAATGTAATAATATGTGAGGATGCAGACGTGTAATAAATGAGCCGAAATATAAACAACTGATACAATCGAATTCATAAATCACGAATTTATCCAAAGTAACAGTGTCCAACAGGGACATCAGGAAGTGTTTTTTCCCCCTCCCTTTAGCTTGTTGCATGTTCATAGAAGTACTAATCCGTGAATGAGAGGGAGGATGAATGCCATTTCATTTTCAGAACAGAATTTTAATCAACCAATCAGAGAGGGACAAGTTTACAGTTGATGTCACGTTTAGGCTTACAAACAGGGTTAGCTGCTTCTACATTAGTGTTGTTCACGTCTCATTTGCCTCGGATTTTAGGGATAGGTTATGGGTAGGGTTAAAGGGAGGTTCGAGTTTCTCGAAAGTTTCTTTCTTCTGCTAAACACAAAGGAAGATATTCCGAAGAACGATTGGAACCAAACAGTTGTTTGGCACCATTGACTTCCATAGTAGAAAAAAAATACTATGGAAGTCAATGATGCCCCACAACTGTTTGGTTCCAATCGTTCTTCGGGATATCTTCCTTTGTGTTCATCAGAACATAGAAACTCATACAGGTTTGCAACAACTTGAGGGTGAGTAAATTATGACAGAATTTTCATTTTTGGGTGGAGTCTCCCTTTAAGGAATATGGATAGGGTTAGGACTACATTTTTGTACAGGAATGGACCAGGATCAACAAAAAGGAAGATTCAGAAACATTTCTTGGCAAAATCACATTGCTCTAATGCCCCTGTATCATGTTCATAACCGTCAACAAGAATACATACTGTAGATAGAGTAAACAATTCAGCCACAAGTTTTAGTTTTTAGATTTCTTAAAGGGGTGATGAACATCTAAGGTTTTGATATCTAAGAGGTCATCATATTATAAGAATATCCTGTAAGTTTCAGAACTGAAAACGTCCTTGTTAGTCCAATAAAAGCTTTTATTGACACCAGGCTCAGCAAATGACTCGTTTTTCAAAGTGGGGAACTGTGACGACAAAGAGGATAAAACACCACCCCCGCAGAAGAAGATCAACGCCTACTTCAACACGGCTGTTTTAGCCCCGCCCACCGATTCGTGAATTACACGCATAGCTAAATATCATAGATTCCTACCTCGTGAGGTAGCAAACCGGATCGAGCTACCGAGCAATAAACATGCCGTTACAAAATATTGTGCAGTGCCTGGTTGTGGAAGAAGACAGTCGCTGCATACGCGAGTGAGTTGAAGCTCATTATAATACGCAAAACTGTTATCCACTCACAGCAGTGGGCATTTACTTCCAAGTCTTCAATGCGAGATGCCCATAAAAACTTTTGAGCTAGGCTCAAAACTAGGGTAGAGAATAGCCTATTACTTATTCATTGTGATGTTTTTTATTGTAAAAACCAAGCGAACGTCATAAGTTGACCTCAGAAAACAATATAATAAAATTTAAAAAGCCAGTTCATGACCCCTTTAAGTTTTCAGAGTGAAACAGGAAATTTAAATATAAAAAATGTAGGGATCCGTTGAGAATTGGATGGTGAAAAGAGTGTTACATGCCATATAGTCTATTTCCTTTAACCTGGAAACTGTCTAAATCGATCTGAAACATTAATTTGCACTCCTGTTCAAAACTTTGAGCTTAGTATGATTTTTATATATATTTTGAAAAATAAGTCTTATGCTGCGTTCACACCGGACGCGAAGTTCAGATTTTTCAACTCGGGCGGCAGACGCGAATTCGCGTCAAACGAGTGAATGCATGGCACTAACTAAATCATTCGCGCGTAATGCCCTTACGTGCGAATGAGGCGTATTCGCATGATTTGCGCCATACGTGCGAATGAGGCGTATTCGCGTCTTCCGCGCCGCAGGAATTTTTACGCGCGTAACGCGTCTTGGATTGACTTAACATTGAAATCATTTGCGCCTGACGCGCTATTCCCGTCCGGTGTGAACGTAGCTTTATGCTCACAAAGGCTGCATTTATTTATAAAAAATACAGTAAAAATAGTAATATTGTAAAATATTATTTGAATTTAAAATAGCTGTTTTCTATATATATATATATATATATATATATATATATATATATATACACAGTATATATATATATATATATATATATATATACAAATATATAATGTAATTTATTCCTCAGGAATTATTGTCATATCCTGATTTTTCTATTTAGATAACCATTACAATCAATGTTTAATTTAAACAGTTACTTAATAAGTTTGTGGAAACTGTGATATTTCTTTTCAGAATACTTTGATGAATAGAAAGTTAAAAAGAACAGCATTTATATGAAAAAGATTTTTGTGCCACTATAAATGTCATTACTGTCATTTTCTATAAATTAAATGCGTCCTTATTGAATAAAATAATTAATTTCATTGAAAAAACAAAACAAAAAAAACTATATAGACCCCCAAACTTTTGAAAAGTAGTGTACATAGGACTACAAAAAAAAAAACAAAAAAAAAAACACACCAATAAATAAATAAATTAAAATGACCCCTCATTTCAGACAACCACCATACTCAAATGTATCGCATGGCGGAGATCTTAGAAAAAACAGCGTGATCTTACTAAGTTTATGTATGTTGATGGGCTCGGTTGGCATGCCTTCCCCGCCGTCGCTCAGCGCTCGTATCTGAATGATGTAATCGTCATCTGCAGGTAGGGTGAGCTCCACCGAGGTCAGATTTGTTGTTATCGAGTTTATTTCTTTATGCCGGTTTCTTCTGTAAGTCACCTGCAGAGACCAAATGAGAGACGTCCTAACAACCTCTTAGATTTATTCAGCACAAGCTATTTTAGTCAATAAATCAAATTATCATACACTGTGGGGAAACCGCAGTGTTTATTAGCACACCTGGTGTTTTTGCGATACTGTACAGCATATATGGTGTAGATCTGCGTTCGAAATTAGTTTTATTTTTAATTTCCGTTCCCACAAAGGTGGGTAATGGTCCAACAAGAGAAATAATAGAAGCACTTTAATGTAGTTGTTTCCTAAATGCTCACTGGAATAGAACAAGCTAATAGGATTATGTGAAAATAATGCCGTAGTTTGGGGTTTACATTGCTGGGAAGCACTTACCTGATACCCAGTAACATCTGACTCCATCTCCAGAGAAATGACAGGCTCCCAATGAACAGTGAGCTTCGAGCCAATCAGGTTCCACTCCACGTTCAAAGGTGGCTGCCCGGGTGCTGAGGGGAAACACAGCCATTAGTTACTGTGCACGTGTGACAACATCACTGAGAACGAGAGAAAGAGAGGCGCCTGGCCGTCTGTTTGTTCATTACGTATTATACTTAAACAGGAACTAATCTAAAACTAAAAATGAAAATTCTCTTTCAAACTTTGTGAAACATAAAACAAAAATTTTTGCAAAAAACAAAAGACCAAGGACAGTCATTCTTCAAGTTGTCCATGTGATTTGTACATTATATTACAAGTCTTTTGAGGTCATATGAATAGCACACAAGTTTACTTTAAAGTTGTATGAGAAAAAGCAGCGTGAACATTTGTTTAAATTTCTATTTTCCATTATCTGAATCCTTTAAATATACAGACTACCGTTTAAAATTGTGGGATTAGTAAGAATGTTGTGAAAGAAATTAATACTTTTATTCAGCAGGGAATCTTTACTTTTTTTTATTTTTATTTCAAATAAATGCTGTTCTTTTGAGCTTTTTTATTCATCAAGAAATCCTGAAAAAATACATCACAGTTTCCACAAAATTATTAAGTAGCAAAATGATTGATTCTTGAGCATCAAATCAGCATATTAGAATGATTTCTGAAGGATCACGTTACACTAAAGACTGGAGTAATGATGCTGGAATTTGGTTTGATAAATTAAATTTGAATATATATTAAAACAGAAAACATATTTCAGAATATTATTGTATTTATTGTATTTTTGATCAAATAAATGCAGCCTTAGTGAAGATGAGTCTACATTTTTTTATGTACCAATGCCAAACTTTTGAACAGTAATGTGTAGCCCTCAATCGGGTCATGGGGTCTATATGACTTTTACTTAATAAAAAAAGGTTTCCTTCATCTCAGTGGAATAATATTTTGTGACTTTTCATACATTATCTATCTATACACACACTGAACTGGGCTTGATACGGTTGTTCTGAAGGTATGTAAAAAAAAAAAAAAATGTTTACACTTCTGATCTTCGGGCCAATATGACCCCACATTGAAATGAATTGGAAATGTGAAAAAAAAAAAAAATAAATAATAATAATATATATATATATATATATATATATATACACACACGTGTCAATAAATAAAAATAATAATAATCTGGCATAAATCTGGCATAAATCTGAATTTTTTTACACAGAAATGAAGGCCTAGTACTACAGCATAAATGCAATGTATCATAAATAAATAGTTGAGGAATTGTGTGGTATATGTATACAAAAGTACTTTATATCTCCAAAAACACAGCATTAATGAATAGATGAGAAGTAAACAAAAAAATGATATATTATTTGTATGATTAAAAATGAATATTTTTTGTACAATTGCTCAATCAATTGTTGGGGTCGTACCCCGAAGCCCAGAAGTGTAAACAGGAAACGAAGACCATTTGAAGGTTAAACAATGAAATGGTCAGGTCTACATTTACAATACTTCTACAATTGAAGAAAATGCCACATTAAATTTTTATAAATCTGCAGAAGAGGCCTAAATTATATATGAACGGTTAATACTCACGGGACTTCTTGGTGGTCACATTGATAGTAGGAGAAAGAGGGCCAGTGCCCGCCGTGTTGAAAGCGCTCACTGTCAGGAAATACTGAGTGTATCCTCTCAGACTACTGATGTTAACTTTGTTCTGATTGGCAGACACTCTGACTTTGCCCATGGTCTCTGGTTTTGTATCATCCTCCCAGTACACCACCTGATTTCAAGAGCAACAGAGAGAAAGCACAGACTGTGGGATCTAAAGACTATAATGCTACGACACCATTATGTTCAGTGCATGAGAATCATTATTCAGGAGTATTTCACTTTTTTCCTCTCCACACATTGGGTTTTGAGGTGACATGGATGAAAAGTTTCAGAGAGGAATGTGTAATGTGTTCTCTGCCCTTAAAATGATGAAGAAAAGCCATTTCGCCCATGCCGCAGAGAGGGCCCCCCATGCATACGGTAAGAACAGGGTGCCCTATTCTTATTTCCAAATGGAGCGTTTCCATGGGTACAGAGGGAACTTTGAGGTGCAGCGTGGGAGATGACAGGCTCTGACAGAACCCACGGTGCATTTCAAAACCGGACAGAGAGTCTTTTCCATTTAGAAGAAGGGACGCACCTCATAGCCCAACACTCTTTCTGGGGAAGTGCTGAGAATGTGCCAGTTCACTTCAATTTCAGTGGCAGATATGCTTCTGGCCCACACGCCGTCTGGAACGCCACTGGGCTCTGCGGGGAAAGAGAAAAAGGGGAAAAAGATGAATACATAAAGACAGAAGAGAAGAGGATGACAAATGAGAAGATGAAACAAAACAGAAAGAGAAGAGACTAAAATAAAAGAGTGGAGGATACAATGAAGAGAGATGTAAACAAGACATAAATCGAGAGGAGAGAAAACCAGACAAGATTACAATAAAAGAGACGAGACTGGAGAGTAGAGATAACTACGGAAAAAGACTATGAGGCGAGAAGACCAAAATGAGAAAAGACAAGAAGAAAAGAGAACAGGATACAATTAAGAGAGAAATAAATGAGAAGAGAGATAAACCAACAGGAGACGAGATGAGAAAATAACTAGGATCCAACAAAGAGAGAGGCCAAAACGGGACGGAAGAGGAAAAAAGAGAAGCGAAAGCGATATTTAAGACTGAAAAAAACAAAAACAAGATGAAGCAAGGAGAGCAGTCCAAAATGAGACAATACTGAAAGAAAAGAAGAGGATGCAACAAAAAGAGTAAATGTAAATGAGACAAAACAGAGAGGTGAGATGAGATAAAAGGACAGAAGACACGAGGAGCTCAAGAGGAGTGAAGAGTCTAAAGGAGGCGAGGATAACTATGATGGAACAAGGAGAGAAGCTGAGATGAGACTAAAAGAGAAAGAGATGAGAGACACGATGAAATGAGACGGGAAGAGACAAAAACAAAAGGAAAGTGGACACGACGAAGAGAGATGGAAATGAGCCAAAACTGAGAGAGATAAGAAGAGAAAAAAGAGCAAAGAAGAAACGAGAGAAGACAAGATCGAGAGAAGGGAAGAGAATAGAGGAGACGAAGAGAAGATGCAACGAGGGAAGCTGAAACAGGGCAGAAAAAAGAAAAGATGAGATGAAATGAGACGGGGTGAGACAAAATGAGACTGAAAGAATAGAGAAGAGAAGAGAAGAACTAGGGAAGCTGAAACAGGGCAGAAAAAATGAAATGAGACGGGGTGAGACAAAATGAGACGAAGAGAAGAGAAGAGGATGCAATGAAGAGAGATGGAAATGAGCCAAAACTGAGAGAGATAAGAGGAGATAAAAAGAGCAAAGAAGAAACGAGAGAAGACAAGATCGAGAGAAGGGAAGAGAATAGAGGAGACGAAAAGAGAAGATGCAACGAGGGAAGCTGAAACAGGGCAGAAAAAAGAAAAGATGAGATGAAATGAGACGGAGTGAGACAAAATGAGACTGAAAGACTGAAAGAATAGAGAAGAGAAGAGGACGCAATGAAGAGAGATAGAAATGAGCCAAAAACTGAGAGAGATAAGAGGAGATAAAAGAGCAAAGAAAGGAGAGATGACAAGATCGAGAGAAGGGAAGAGAGTAGAGGAGACGAAAAGAGAAGAACTAAAGCTGAAACAGGGCAGAAAAAAGAAAAGATGAGATGAAATGAGATGGGGTGAGACAAAATGAGACTGAAAGAATAGAGAAGAGAAGAGGATGCAATGAAGAGAAATGAGCCAAAACTGAGAGAGATAAGAGGAGATAAAAAGAGCAAAGAAGAAACGAGAGAAGACAAGATCGAGAGAAGGGAAGAGAATAGAGGAGACGAAAAGAGAAGAACTAGGGAAGCTGAAACAGGGCAGAAAAAAGAAAAGATGAGATGAAATGAGTGAAAGAATAGAGAAGAGAAGAGAACAGAAAAGAGAAGAGGATGCAACGAAGAGAGATGTAAACAAGACAAAACTGAGAGAGATGAGGTGAAACCCAATGAGACAAGATGAGAAAAGATGAGATCAAGAAAAGAGAGGAACTAAGGAGAGAAGCCAAAACAACAAGACTAGAAGAGAAATAATGAAAGGAGAGGGGGAAAGAAGAGACAAGACTAGACGAGGAGAAGCACAAATCTGAGGCTGATGAAAATCGTTTGTAAATGCCTGATGCAAAATCTTTTGCCTCTAAAATGGTAAATGACTGGTCTTTATTTTAACAGGATAGTAGAGTGACGCAAAAGAATATTATCTGAACAGGAATTCAATTAATGCCGTAGCTTCCTGACACACCGCTGTCTTCCCGTCATCTCAAACGGATCCTAACCAGATGAAAGATTGCAGCATTGGTGCTTCAAATGCTGAGCAAGACACTCAGAGCTTTCAGAGCTAAAACCACCTGACATTTACAACACAATATTTTTACAACACTTTACTTTGAAGTTACAGCAAAAAGAAAATTGCACATTGGACATTTAGCCAAATACCATATTCACTTCCTGTTAAAAGATGATAAATTATGGCTAAAAGAACAGAAAATTGCCCCCAATCGTGTTGGAAAAACCATTTGTGAGGTTTTCATATTTTCCAAATCTGTTTTTATTTATTTTAACATTTGTCTGTAACAAAAGTTGTGGATATCTGAAGTCGGCTGATCGCTATGATTTTCAGAAACGGAATTTTGAGAAAAACGTCCTGCTAGCGGGATGACTGGCGCTCTTTTTCTGTTGCCTTTTTTCATATCACATATTTTAGTAATCATCATAGATTAGGTATCATTCAAAAGCTTACAAACTCAAAATTCATCCTGTGAAAACCATTGCGAAATTGGACGATTGAGACGCGAGCAAGGTCTTTTAAGCGAGCAGCTTCAGACTTTGTTGATTTTGTTGTTTTTTTGCCCCTCTGCTGCACCGTGCGAGTTCTTAAATGGGTGATGAATTGAGAAATCAAATTTTCCTTGAGCTTTTGACATCTAATAGGTCATCATATTAGAAGAATATCCTGTAAGTTTCAGAACTGAAAACGCTCTTGTTAGTCCAATAAAAGCTTTTATTGACACCAAGCTCAGCAAACGACTCGTTTTTCAAAGTGGGGAACTATGATGACGGTCAAAGAGGATAACACCACCCCCGTAGAAGAAAATCAACGCGGCCGGTTTAGCCCCACCCACCGATTCGCGCATTAAACACATAGCTAAATAACATAGGCCTACCTAGTGCATGGCTAAACTTTATTTTTAATGCCAGCTGATGAGGGTAAAACATTGTCCGTCTGTTCGCTTCATTTCACTGAGGATTGTTTTGTAAACAAGACTGGATTTGCAGACAGATTAAGAGTAAAGAACGGTGCTGTGCCGTCTATATTGGATCTGACAGGAATGGTGCAACACACAGACTCTGGGTCGAACATGTATGGGCGAATCATTCCGGTTGCCATTTTACAACATTAGACGTTTTCAAAAAGATTTCCCCCACTGACGTGTGAGTTGAAACTCATTATAATACTCAAAACTGTTATCCACTCACAGCAGTGGGCGTTTACTTCCAAGTCTTCAGTGCGAGACACCCTTAAAAACCGAGCGTTTTTCAGCTAGGCACAAACTAGGGTAGAAAATAGCCTATTACTTATTTATTTTAATGTTTTTGAATGTAAAAACCAAGCGAACGTCATAAGTTGACCTCAGACAACAATATAATACAATTTAAAAAGCCAGTTCATGACCCCTTTAAAAAGAAAAAGACGTTTTCAACTTGCCAGTATAAATCACTATTTTTCTGCACTAAACTAGTGAATTTTCCCAAGATGTATTCAGAGATGGTAAACAAGATGTTATAGAATTATAATTTATTGAAATCCCAATTTTAAAATCTGTTTTTAGACCTCACTGAAAACGTACCAGCGTGACATCCGACAGGTTTTCCTATATCGCATCACATTTGTTGACCATTTGTTACAAAATGCTATGTTCTTTCAGCATTGCCCATAACATACTGTAGTGCTGGTGGTGAAATAATCAATTCCAGCTCCTGTTCTCTGAAAGTGTTATGCACCTTACAAAAGCCAGACAAGTACAGAAACACAGCCAAGAGAAAAATCCATTAAAGACGCTGGAAATGACTGAAAAGGTAAGCATTTGTACGACTGAAAGTCTCACCGTTCTCGGCTGAGAACACAATGGTAACGGGGCTGAACGGTCCCTGGCCTTTGGTGTTGTAGGCACCCACTTTGACGCTAAATGGAGAAAAGGGCAGGATGCTCTCGTTTCGGCACACGTAACGGGACTGAGCCGGCACGGAGGTGACGGCGTGTGTCCAGTTGACCTCTCCTAGCGGCCGGAAAGCGATGATGTAGCCGAAACCATCTCCGTTTTGTAGGTCTTCAGGCACAGGCTGGGAGGGAAACAAAAAACTATAGTGATATTAAAACATACAGACCAGATTCGGCCTCAGGTTCACACCCAGTGCCTTTCCAAATCCCACAGTTTCTGCAAAAGTGATGCAACCTCTCGAGAGCGCAAATGAACCGTTTTCTAATATACAACCAAATCTGAATTGAATGCCATTACGGGAGCAAAGGGCCCAGATGGAAAACAGGCTTGGCTTTGACTGAGGTAATAAACACCCCCATTCAATTCCATTTAATTAGCCAAAACTATTACCTCGCACAGAGGGAGTGATAATGTAGACAGATGACTTACCTCCCATGTTATTACCAACTCTGACTTGGAGCCACCCCCACCTCCGACATCGGTGGGGGCCGTGTCAGGAACTGTGTATGGGGAAATAAAGAGAAAAGCGCCATGTTTTCAGAACAGCAGATTCAGGGCAGCCCTCCTCATTGTTTCTTTTCTTTTTGATTATACTCAAAGCCTCATTATCAAGTATCAAAAGAAACAGAGCTCCGGTCCCATAGCAACTGCTTTTAAAAGATTCTGTGGGCAGCGTCTGAGTTAACGGGCTTTGTTTCTAGTGAATTTCACCATTTTCCAAGAGTCTCTCAACAATAATGCTCGGAGAATCCATTCTATATTATACAAAGAGGCACTTGAGGAATGGTCATTTGAAGAATACGGGCACTAACATTGGTGGATTCAATATCACAGCCCACCCACGGGTCGCCTACAGTCGCTCACTGACCATCTGATTCATGCTTAAAACAAAACTGGATTGCGCTTTCTCGATTTGGCAAGCTCTGTTCTGATTGGCTGACCAATCTGATGGTGAATTTATACATTTTGAGGATGAAATTTATCCGTGGACTTGCCAAATTTTGCCATCTTGGTGGCATTATATCAAATCAAGAATACTTAGTGATTCTGTCAGATGTGTCTGCGAATTGTCAATTTTGATTTCAAGACGATTTACTCTAGTTTGCTTCTGACCACTTGGTTTATCGGGTCAACAAATTTACTAATAAAAAGTTGAGTTAACAATGGTTGTTTTGATCAAAGTTTTAATTGAAGTATCCTAATGATCATCGTTTCCTACGCTATCTCACGACCAATTCGTACGAATTCGACGAATGATTAAAAAGTGACTAATTCGTACGACCTCACTCGTACGAATTAGTACGATTTGTCTAAACCCACGTGATGGGCGGGGTAAGGGGTAGGTCATTCGTACGAATTCATACGAATTGGCCAATTCGTAAAATATGTACGATTTAGCAAAATCGTACTAATTCGTACGAGTGAGGTCGTATGAATTGTTACGAATTAGCCACTTTTTAATCATTCGTCGAATTCGTAAGATTTGGTCGTGAGATCGGGTTGTGGTTTCCACAAAATATTTAGCAACACAACCATTTTCAACACTGCTAATAATCAGAAATGTTTCTTGAGCATCAAATCATGTGAAACTGAAGACTGAAGTAATGATGCTGAAAATTCAGCTTTGATCACAGGAATAAATTACAATTTAGATTATATTAGAAAACAGTTATTTTAAATATTTGCAATAAAGTAAACCTATTCCCCAATATTACCGTTTATTTTATTTTTTGCAGCTTTCCAGAGCAAAATAAATGTATTTTATAAATCTTAAACAAACCCCAAACTAAGTAATGTTACAAACTGTATCTGCCATAATAATTTGAATGCAGTTACTGTACATGCTAATCAGAATACATGCTAGTATGTCATGTTGTGAATACCCCCTTTATGTAACAATTAACTAAAATGAAAAAATAAATAAATAAATGATATACTTGTAGTTCTTCTAACTACAAGTAACTTTGCAACTACATTTCAAACAACTCTCTATAGTAGACTGTCTGCTTAAAGGAGAACTCCGGCGAACAATGAACCTTTGGTCTAATAAAACATCGGTACATAGTCAACCGTTCTCTGAGATTTGTTTTCATGATAATCGATTGTAAAGAGTTTTATCTCTAAAAACTGTTTAGCGTATAATGCTAGTACTGGGGGCATTGACTAAGTAAAAGAAATCGCTAGTTTATACCACTAATAAGGCTCAAAATAGCCACACACTAACGCAGTAACATAATGAGGCTCCATACATGCAAAACGAAGCATTGAGAACTTTGTAAGTGTACAGACCGTTTAATAAGAAGATACTTTATGAAGACAGTTCACTTCGCGTATGCAGACAGGAGCCATCTTAAAAAATAGTCTCGATAAGTCGATCCCCGAACGACGTGCTGAGTGATCTGAGCTGTATGAAGTTCAGCGAACTTCTGAACTGTATGAACCGCGTTCGGGGATCGACTTATCGAGACTATTTTTTAAGATGGCTCCTGTCTGTATACACGAAGTGAATTGTCTTCATAAAGTTTCTTCTTATTAAATGGTCTGTACACTTACAAAGTTCTCAATGCTTCGTTTTGCATGTATGGAGCCTCAGTATGTTTTTGTGTTAGTGTGGGGCTATTTTGAGCCTTGTTAGCGGTATAAACTAGCGATTTCTTTTTACTTAGTCAATGCCCCCATTACTAGCATTATACGCTAAACAGTTTTTAGAGATAAAACTCTTTACATTCGATTATCAAGAAAACAAATATCAGATAACGATTGACTAGGTACCGATGTTTTATTAGACCAAAGGTTCATTGTTCGCCGGAGTTCTCCTTTAATATCTTCTAACTCTTTATGTGTTGGTTCCCCCAACAGACATTATACAGTCTGTAAGTACCGGTAACTTTGCAACTACAGTGCATGTCAACTTATTCTAGTAAACTGAACCCTAAGCCCTTTCCCTGACCTAACAGTCTACTAATACTACTAGTACTAGTACTACCGTTACTATTCATTGTTGAGTAAGTTCGATAAAAATAATTTACAAACTATCATTGTAAAGAGCAGAATGGCATTTTAGGAATCCAGTAATTATGATGCCTTTTCATAGGATGTACAGTATAGGATGGAGTGTAATTAGGGTTAGGATTTAGGATTCTGGAAGTTGACATGTAGTTGCAAAGTGACATATAGTTAGTATAATATCTAAAGTGGACCATCAAAATAAAAAAAATGTGTATAAATGAACACGGTGATTCACCTGCATCTTCAGTTCTTGTTTTAAGAGATGCGGGACTCGGTTCCCCCACGCCAACGCTGTTTCTGGCCAGCACTCTGAACTCATACTCCACCCATGCGTTCAGATCCACCACCGTTGCCGTCAAGGTGTTGCCATCAATCACCTCCGGGACTGAGAGCAAACAGAAAAGCCTCGGTTTAACCGTACAGACCTGGATTACACAGCGCCGAAAAGTCAACAACAGCAGCCCAATTTTGAGCCAATGTTTACAGTAAGCCAGAAATGTCACGAAACATTAAAAAAAAAAAACTTGTTCTGCTCCATGTCTCTTTCAGGGTGGGATGTTGTTCCAATGAATTGGAATTCGAGCAGCAGGGCAAAAGAGCAGATTAAGTCGTTTTGCGTTAATACTTAAAGGCCCTTATATGTAGTCAAAGCGAGCATAAGCTTCTTTCTAAAAAAGCATATGAGACGTGCTATGGTAATTTCTGCCTCTCGCTGAATTGATGCTCCGCTTGACTAGATTTAGCTAATCCTGTATTGTTACCCGTGTTCACCGCTTGCCAGCCCACTGTGAAAGCTGTCTTGGCCTGGATGATATAGCTTGTGATGGGGCTGCCATTATCCTGGCCGGGTCTCCAAGAAAGCTGAGCCGTGCTGTCCGTGATCTCCTCCACTGTTACACCATCTGGAGCTCCTGGGGGACCTGATTCAATCAGACAATTGCCAGTGAATTAGCAATTAGAAATGAAGTTACCTTCACTGACATCTAACCTTACTCACCCCCCTGCCAGGAAGCCTCACTAAAGCTCTGTGATATAAGGCCAGTCTCTAAAAGGTGTTATTTGCTTTTGTGGGAACACTAGATCTCTTCGAGAACCACAGTGAAGCTTTTCAGAGGCTTGTGTGCTTGGAGCTGTTTTCTGTTTTCAAGCAGACATTTCTCTGCACATCTTTAATTGGTTCTTCCAATTAAAATGTGCAGAGAGCTGCCTTGCTTTGTCAGATTCGCACACGTTTCGGCGGAAATATAAAGAAGCCAAGCATAATCTTTTGTGGTTTTGTCAGCGCGGGTCACTCGCAGCATCACTTACGAGATCAGACAGTCTTTGTTTCTCACTTAAAAAGCACCGTCACAAAAACATGAAGACACATAATACATTTTTTTATTCTGTGAATCTCAAGCTTTTGACAACAAGGCCCTCCATTGTCTATAATATTCGAAAGCCAGTCACTCCTAGTTTCTGTAATTTAACAGCAGAATTTCAGAAGTTTCAGAAGCTCAATTTAGGTTTCCCATTTTTTTTAAGTGTACATATCATGCTTTTAAATCATTCATTTTTACATATAAATCATACCGTTGTGGTCTATATAAAAGATAACTGCAATGCTTGGGTCTGAATTCCTCATTATTATAGCTCCACAGGCCCTTTTTCTACCCCTTTTCTGATGTGCGTCTTTGAGCGACCCGTTTCAAAGCGGCCCCTTTAAATAAAAAGGAGATGCGTCACACCCCGCCCGCTCTCCAGGTCGATGAGTTCACGGTCAGTTCAACTCCCCACGTTCGGCCATTATTGTAGTTTGATTAGAGATATACGATTATATACGAGAACATTTTTATTCACACGTTAATAAAATGTCAACAACAGAAGACTTGTCCATCAAGCCTTACATATTCGAGCCAGAGCGAGCGAGTCGATAAAGACGACGACGAACCTGCAGAACAACCACTTCTTCATATGGATATATTGGTATGTGAGTTAACTGTTTTGTGTTATTGGTGAAAGTCGACTATTTCTCTTGTTAAAACAAGCACACTGACAAGATAAATGACTACGGTCTAATCTTACCACAAAAAAAATCTGTATTGACAATACGATACGTTTAGAAAAGCATCAGAAAACAACGCAGCTAAATGACCATTGATGAAACTCAAGAACAATAATACTGCAGACGTGTAACGTTACTTCAAAACAAAAACAAAGAAAGACAAAGGTACTGCTAAACCATGACCACCATGTGTTTTAAGAAAGTAAACTACTTTATTTTTATTAACGATATTTACAGCTTATCGAAATGCTCTGTTCGTCGTCTCCAAAGATAAAAGGAATTTACCTCTCATTCAGACGAAGTCAATCGGCAAACCCTTCTTTATACCGTCGGAGGTTGTTGAAGTGGGAATCCTTGAAGTGCTTCAGGTCACTAACGTACATCCAACAACCGAACATTTTGACTTGCCCTCTCGTAACTTCTGCATCATTGAGCTCGGACTACAAAATCGGAGCGAGAAATAATAATGGCGGATTGCTCGAAGTGTTGGGCCGGTAGTCAATGTCCTTATTTGGCAGTTCCGCTGCAAATACGGTGACGCACTTGCTCAAAAAACGTCACAGAGAACAGAATATCTGAACAGGTTGAAAAATATGACCAAAACAGAATATAAAGATATAAACGAAGCACCTGAAGAGAATAATTTCATCTTTTCTGTACTTATAAACACTCAAAATATACAACAAAATGCATTTAAGGGCTAAAAAAGTGGATTTTGCATGATATGTCCCCTTTAACTAATGACTTTTCCAGTTGTTCATGATTGGGTTAGTGATTTTAAAGAATACTTTTAGAATACTATTTCTATTAAAATGTACATCCAGTTCTTTTATATTCCCATGGAGTTTTATGATTATGTGAATTTACATGACTTTTCCATACCTAGAAAATCACACGTTTATAATTTGGCAAAGGAATAAAACAAACAAAAACATTTGTTGAGGGAATTTTTGACAGATTTTTAGTTGTTTTAGCTGATATTAATACTTGTCATAATTGAAATCATTTTAAGTGAGGCCCTTTAGTGGACAACTGGTTTTATTTGCACGCCACAGCCAGATTTTACTTGCGTTTTGTGCTTGCAGCGATAGTTACTTTTACACCATGTGATGCTGTTATAAAGCATTATTATAGGTTCTGGCAGTTAAAGCTGGCATGCCAATCTAATTTCAATTGGAAGTTATTGATCCGGCTAAAACTCATTTGTGACCTTTGATCAACAGTTTTGATATGTTCCTCTAATTGCATCTAATGGAACGTGTAATAACGGATCAATTCAACAGACAGATACATTTCCATGGCAAAGCAAGAACAGCATGTTCGCCTTTCCATCAGATTTTCCTTCCAATTCCCAACCCTACATATAAAGCTCCTCCAAAATCCCTGACCGTTGTTCTCTTACCTTTCACGATTAAAATAGCCGCAGCCGATAAACTCTCGACATCCGTGTCGACCACGCAGACGTACTTTCCGGCGTGTTTCAGCTGTATATTCCGTATCATCAAATCTCCAGATGTACTCTAAAGATATAAACAACACACACATACGCATTACTATCCACTCAATCAGAAGAGACTTTAAAGCGACGGGAAGATGTGCGAGTTGTTTGCTATTCCCCAGCAAGTGATTCAGTAAGTGTAGACACCCTGCTGGGTTTGGGAATGAAAATGTGGCCCAACTCCACAGCTAATGGATGACTTTTGGCAAAGCCTGTTCGCTGCTACATTTGAAATGTCCGTCATGGATAAACATTCCCTCTGGCCAACCCTTAGGCTCCTTCGGCACCGCGCAGAACCCAGCAACCAAGCTCACTCGCTAATTGGCTAATTAGAGCTTAATCACATTTAAGAGGTAGTGTGATTGGATTCAGTGTGCCGAAACCCTGTGATACGAAACTGTGCAAGTGATGAATACTAAATCCACACACGACAATTAAATGACTTTGTTAATCTAATAAAGATAAAGAAAGTTGTTCATAAGAGTGGAGGTGAACTTGACCTACTTCATCTATTCCCTTGATTGACTACTTTTACTGATATGTCCACAAATAATCATAATGATACATGTAAATATCAAGTAAAAAAAGCATCAGAATTATCATATATTATAGTTATACTGTCTTTAATATGGCCAACATGTAGTCCACAACAAATTTCCTTTCGAGGACAATCAAGTATACTACTACTACTACTACAAGTAGTTCTAATCAAAATGTGTACCTTAATTACTGTAAAGAACTTTTCGATAACTTTTATTTAAATACACAGCACTATGAGTGGGTACATTTAACCGTTACGTTGTCTTGAAATGTTTTTTTTTTTTTTTTTTGTAAAACGTGTCTAGGGTCGCTAGCGAACCGAGGTATGTAATAGTGTTAGTATAATTTGTCTACGCAACAATCTTTGGATCTCTAATAAATCAATAAGTGCAATTCACCTTTAATGTCGGATACACAATGATGACGTGACGTTTAACTTATATATATGAAGATATGTAGGACAAGTTTAAGTTGATGCCAAGTTTTGTTTCATTTCAAGTTTCCTATTTCATTTCTCTCTGGTTTTATGTATAAGGTTTTTTCTTTAAAAAAAAAAGATTCAACAAATATGTAATAATGATTGGCGAAACACTCACGCATTTAAGGGTTAATACCTACTTTATTTCCCCATCTGTGAAAAATCTTCATTTTAATAGAATAGATTTTTTATTTGATATTCATAGACGGTGATTTGCTTGAATGTTGATATTGTCTGTGAAGTATTCGGCACAGACAACTTCACTAATTTAATAAAAGGCGCTTAGATTTCAAATCAGTTAAATTACATGAGATAAGATGTGGGATTTTATTTTAAAGATTGTGGTTGGCAAACAAGAGGTAAATCTGCAATTTCAGCAGTCAGGACATTAGGCTACAAATTTAGTTTCATTATGGAAATGAGTTCATCCAAGCTGTGAACTTCATGCTGATAATCCTACAAGACGGGTGGCTTCAGAGAATTCATAAGAACCGGAATATAATTACCGAGAAGAATCACCGGCTTAAATGAAGATGAGTGCGTTTCCTACAGTATGTGTGTGTCCAAATGTCGAAACCCCCCACATTTTCTTAACATGTTCAGATTTATCATGAAATTATCATAATTTTATAATAGTCAAAGATAATTTTATTTTACCATTGCTTCCACAATGCAGAAAACAAACTCATTTAGATCCTTAAACTATGCAAGAAATCATCTTTTTGATGGCTTTGGGGGTGGTGATTAATGAATCTGTTAAAGGATTGCTCAATTGAGTCATGCACATCCAATATTGACCAGTGAGTCCTCATTAGGGCATTCTCTCTGTCATTACTATTTCCAGAAAGACGTCATTACATCCCAGAGAAAAGCAATCTGAGATCTGACCATTCAAAAGCCTTATGAGGATATTACACTTGAGATCCTGAAAGGCATAACTTTGATGGATTGATTTTTATTCTGTGAGGAGGAGGGAAAAGAAGCTCAAAGTCAACATAGTGGGCTGTTAAGCAGTGGAAGCAACAGCTAAGAAAGTGATAAATTGATTCCTGAAGTCTTCCACATTTTAACAGTAGGTCTGGCTCATAGCTCAATGGAAGTATTGCACAGTAAACTACTGGATGCATCTGTTTAGAATCAGATATTAGAGTATAAAAATTAATTTGTTGTGAGAGTTAGTATACGGCACCATGACATTAAAGGTGCACTCAGTATTTTTTATCTCATTAGAAAGCTTTTACACAAAGAAATTGATTGTTTGTTGAGGTTGAAATGCTTGATATATGTGGAAAATCTTTCTCCAGTTTTATGACACAACAGTAGACAGAATAAACAGAATATGGGGAGAGAAGATCTCTAATAAAATATGACTTACCCCTCCCACATGCTCATAATGCTGGTCCAGTTTATTGAGGAGCTGCCCATTGAAGGCCCAGGAGAATGAAACATCCAGAGCAGGGTCACAGGAGATCTGGCAGGGCAGTACGATGCTCTCCCCGACGATGATTTCCATGTCCACTGGACCCTGGGTGATTTGTGTGGGATCTGCTCAAAATCACACTCAGCTTTACTCAATGGCCAGTCATAAGGTTGATTCAATGAATATTAAACGAACAATAAATACCTCAATTCTCTTGCTTAACCACAAAATGGAAAGGCTATTTTTTTTTCAACCTGATCTCATAAGGAAAACATTGTTGTAAAGCCTGAAATTGCTCTAATGTACAAGACTTCTGAGCCTGGAACCAAACCAACCAATCACAACAAAATGCAAAACAGACAAAGGTAAGACAGTGTTTGTATACATGAATGATCTACTAATCCCATGATGAATCATTGCGATGGACTTCTATAGAAGCACATTAACAACCGTGGAGCTCAAAGTAGGTCTGTCTTGAAAGGTTTATACAATATCGCTAAAACCCATTTCTCTTTGGAGAAAATTAATGGGATTTTTACTTCCACCCACTTGGTAGGATGATAAAGCTTTACATATTATTATATATTATTTTCGAGAAAAGACTCACTCTTACGGCACTAAACACACTCTTTTATTTATAAAAACATATAAACCATTAAAATAAAACAGAATTACATAAGTATGTGTATGGAAGCTTGTTTCTGCCACAAAATTGAACATTTTAAAAGAAAATTGTGACTTTTTATCTCACAATTGCGTGTTTACATCTCGCAATTCTGACTTTATAATATGCAATTCCGACTTTGTATCCCCCAATTGTGTGTTAAAAGGTCATATAAACAGTTTATTTCTCGCAATTGTGACTAAATCACGCAATTCTGAGATAAAAAGTCAGAATTGCAAGATAAAAAAGTCGCAATTACCTTTTTTATTTTTTATTCTGTGGTGAAAAGCTTTTTTTTTTGGTAAATCATATAGAAGGGATCGTCCTTTAAAAAAATGGGGTTTAGTTATGTCTACAACTTGCTAGTCAGTGGCAGGTGACATTCTCATTGTAGAGGAGGGCAGCAATTTGGGAGGGAATATTTCTGTTCTGTAAAGTAAAACGTTTAAACAGCGTGATGAACTCTTATTTCAAACAATCAGGGAAAAAACAATTTCTATTTAATTGACATAACCCTTTTTAACTACATCAATGTTTTTACATTTGCCCAATTGCTTCCTTTCAGATTCATATTCAAATCTGCTGGGGCGGAGTTAGCTGTAAAATACTGTGATGTATGTAGTAATCTCAGTAAAACCCAGAGTGCAAATGCAGCGTTCTATATTTTTCTCTAAATTGTGCACGCTCAACCTATAACCTACACCCTCACACAGTCCATTAGTGTAATCCAGGGTAATTGCAATGCCATAAGCGGAGCGTAAAAATGGGTAATTATAACAACACACAAAAAGCCACTGTATCCCATCCCTGTTGAGTTGAGCTGAGAAGAAAAAAAACCCTGCCAGTTGGAGAGCTGAACCGCATGTAAGCCCCAGAAAGCAATCAAACAACTTTTCTGTCAGAATGCATTATATAAAACACAACAAACTACATGAAACAGAAGCACCTTTGTATTTACTCTTTAAGCTGAATCTATTTGTTGTTCTGGCGTAACTGCCAGGTTAGGATAGGATAGTTGACCAAAAAATACCCTCATGTTATCCCAAACTTGTATGATTTTCTTTATTCTGTCGAATGTTTTTGTCAAACAATGCAAGTCAATGGGGTCCAACAGAATCAACATCCAAAGAGGACAAAAAGTTAGTGTACAAGTAATTCATAAAACTGTAGTGGTTTAAAGTTTTGCTATTACTTTCCTTTAGGGTCCAAATCTCACTAGAGGTAATGCATTGACGTCACTTTTTATACGCTGGATAACGCCCCCTTAGCTGGACTGAGTGGCAAAAGAGCTGCTGCATGACTGGGAAAATAGAGGGAAACCGCGAATACGCAAGTAAAACAAGCGATTATCCGTTAAACTGAGGTTGCACTCAATATAATGTTCCTTACAACTTCCCAAAGATCCAATGATCCATATTGATCCATGATATTGACATGCAGCAAGAAATCCAGTTTCCTGACATTTATATGTGCCTGATTTCGTCACCGGGGAAAACATAAAGCTGATTTGCCTGTGAATGCTTTATAAAAATACAATGTCTAAATCCGGATGATTTTTTTCGTCAGTGTTTATTTGAAAACGTCCAATTATGCAGAATATACGATGGTTAATATTTAATTGATGAGTTGACAATACAACATATAACAATATGTTACAAATACACCCGAAAACAACTACAGATCCACTCGTTGTAAAATGCAAAAGACTTCGGAGTGGCTACAGAAAAAAAGAGACCCATGCGAAAACAAAGATACATATCAGAAGGGCTTTTGAAAGGTATAATTGTATTAGATTCCAGTTTTAATTATGCATCTGATTACAGATATGGATGTTTGTATTTCAAAGAGAACCTGTTTTAAGGAACATTAATTTGTTCATATGACAATTACACAGTAAAATTTTTTTCAAGATTTGTTATCACAACATATTTTCTTTTGTCAAATCAACTTTATAATATATTTTTTTTTAGTTGAGATAACTTATTATTTTGAGTTTCTGATGATTAAATTAATCTCCTTCATTGTATTAACTCACTTTTTCCAGTTCAAGCAACTTAAAATTTTAAGGCAACCCAGGTTACTTACTTTAAGTTAAACCAACACTATTTTTTTACAGTGTAGTAATCACAACATTTTTTCTTTTGTCAAATCAACTTAAATAATTTATTTAGTTCAGATAACATATCATTTTGAGTTTCTGATGATTAAATCATTCTCCTTCATTGTATTAACTCACTTTTTCCAGTTCAATGAACTTAAAATTAAGGCAACCAGGTTACTTACTTTTTTAAGTTAAACCATCAATATTTCTTTACAGTGTAGAAATTAGACTGCAAAGAAATGGAAATTGGACTACAGTAGCCCTAATACACATTAAATATAGTCACACAATGCTGATGTTGTCATGAGAACAAAATTTGCACGGTTTGATGTGATATGATTTACTGCAATGCTTTTTTCCCCTAAAATGGTCAGAACAAAAATGGATGTTGTTTGCTTGTTCAGATGACAATTTCCAGGGAAAATTCTTAGTCATACCTCCAAAAGTATAATGATTCTGAATGACAGGATCCACACCAGCACGGCAAATGATAGCTGCACATTCTCCCCAAAACATTGGATTAATCCGGGCTGTGCCGTGCCGTGGCACAACTCATGTAAAGTTGATAATTCTGTGAATAACTGCAGTTGCAGATGGCGGAGATGGCGAAAAAGAGGAAAAACTACAGACTGCACCTTTAACTACCTTTCTTCCAAGTAATATGCAGCAATTAGGAGTTTGAGGCAGAAGTCGTAGTTAATAGTGAGAATTGGACCCTAAACTAAAGTGTGACCAAGTTTTCAAGTAATCATTGATCAATTAATGTATAGAGAGTCGAAATCAAGAATGGCGATACTTCAATAACATGACTGAACATGTTGACGTCTTCACACAAAAACTTAAATTTCACTCTGCCATCATACTAAACTATTCCCTGCACCTGAATATGCCTACTTCCATACTATATGGTAGGCGGAAAATATTATGCAAGCCAAATAGTATGTCTGAATTCACAGTACTCAAAATAGTAGGCAAAAAGTACCTGTATGACCTACTGCTTCCAGCGAGATTCTGAAGTGTGTATTCACTGGACACTTTACTATCCCATGAGGCCATGAGAGGAGGTGTGAATGTCAGTGAAGCGACACAACTGATGGAGGTCACATGACATTCAAGTCAAGTCACCTTTTTTTATAGCCATTTATACAATACAGGCTGTAAGTCAGTTCAGTGTTGATTCAGTTCCATTGTAAAGATCATCAATTATTAAATTAGTTCATTTCATGTATAAAGCAGCGATAATGCCATCATCCAGCTCAGTTCCGTTCTCGTGCAACAGCGTCAGTACAGTCAGATCAATAATATTGGTGGATGGAGTTCGCCTGAATTGAATTCTATGCAGATTTATACTATATAGAATGAATGTTTTTAACGTTTGTGAAGCAAGTGTCAAAACAAATAAAGTATCTACTATATAGTATGTGTGTTAGACGCAGATGGTGTATAAATTCAGAAGACTACAGTTGAATGATGTACTTTTACGCTACATTTATTTCTTTTTTTGGAGCTTCAAACTATTGGACCTCATTGACTATTCAGTGTATAGACAAAAAGACATACCTCAAATATCTTCTTTTGTGCTTTACAGAAGAAACATTCATTTGGAACAACAAGAGGGTTAGTATGATGACAGAATTTCCATTCCTGTGGGAACTAAGCCTTTAAGAAACTGTCATGATTTTGATTAATTGTCCAACCAAGAACACAGTTGCCTGAAGCCCCCAGAGTTTGCAGACAAATCACCACTTCTCACAGTTGAATGACACTCTAAAATGACTTGTATCTGCAGGAAAAGCAAGGATAAAGCCCAAACCGTAATACGGTTACAGTAATCCTTACCTGTGACCAGCAGTCTTCCCGTAGTGCTGGCCGCACCAAACTGGTTTCTAGCCAAGCAAGCATAGTTTCCCCCGTCCATCTTGGTCACATTTGTAATTCTAAGTGTTCCATCAGGGAGAAAAGTTATCCTAAAGGAGAGAACCACAATCCTATCAAATCAAATTGAAACTTGGTTAACTCATAATGGAGCTACATTCCCGACTACAAATGTGTTTTATCTTTCGGGAACAGTAGAAATGTGTTAAAAAGAACATAATGTGTTTCTTTTGAATGGCACATAAATCTTTGCGCATCGCACACTCTCCGTGTCTCTGTGCTGCCCGAGAGCGATGAAGCTGAAGAGTGTGCACTCACACCAAACAGACATTCAAACGTAGAGCCGACAAGCTATAACAGCGGGCTCATTATTTGAATCAGATTACATTCCGACCCTTCATGACTATTTCCTGAACATCTATCTATCTATAAATTACAGGAACGTCTGTCTGTCTGCGTGTGCGTGTCTGTTAATCGCATATCTCTGGAACCGTTAGTCCGATGGGTCTCAAACTTAAAGAGCCCCTATCATAGCATTTGAAATGTTCCTATTTTTGTTTTAGGAGTTCCCCAAAACAGTGTAACTTGCATGCTAGGATAAAAAAACACTTTATTTGTCTTATAATATGCATTTATTTTTAACTGATTTGCTCACCGACTCCCAAACGATTCATACAACGACTCATTTTTCCAAACCACTCCTTTGCGTGACGCTAATCGGCGGTGATTGGTCTGATGACAGACCCAGTCACGCATAAACATATTGATAAAGCACGGCAGTATTACAGGACGCTCTATTCTTTATGACAAGTCCAATAACAGCGGCAAACATTTCACATATTTGAAAAAAAAAATTGACATTGGAGACCTAGAAGCTGCGCTGAGCGTAACTTACACACACACACAGATACACGTGCACACACATACTGCCCCGACGCAACAAAACCGTTCAAAACCTATAAAAGCAACAATTATTAATAATACTTACAGGTTGTGATTCGAAGGAGGAAGCTGATCCATATACACTGGGTAAGTAAGTTACTGAGCCCTCCTTCAGGAACAACCGCTTGCGAATCCACATTTGAATTCATTTATGTTTTTGAACGATTAATTAAAATGATGAGAACACAATCGGGCTATACTGTTGTGGTATCGTTGCAAATATGAACTCTAACCACCGATTCTTCACATGCTTGTCCCTGGACAATGAAAACAAAGTCGCTGAACTATCTTTGCATTGTAGAAGACAGCGTCTTCTCGACGTGATGCTATGATGAAGTATTTGAATGTGTAGACTTCAAGTTTACACTTCCGTCTGCGCGCAGTAACTGGGCGCGGCCAGTATGTGTCTACGTCACTACGAACCAGCTAATGACTCGTTTCAAAAACAATTCATTTCATAGACTCAGAGTCGACTCTCACTTTGTAAAGACAATAACTTTATATACGGTGCACTTTCAGATATAAATCTTTGCAGGATGTTTTCATTCCCTTAGAGCTATATTCCACACCATATGAACAGTCATTTTCAAAAATCCATGATAGGGGCTCTTTAACAAGTGTCTTGCTACGGGCACGAGTAAGTGCAGTGCTGAGTTTGACGTTGTTTGGATTAGAAATGCAAAAGATATCCCTAAATACGGGCATTTTGCACTAGTACTCTTAATCTTAAAAAAATACAAACCTTATTTTCCTCATGCGCAAGTTAAGTGTCTATCATTTGAAGTGCTTTCAATTTTATTGAATTGCTATTTACCTGTAACTGTCATCTGTGACTGTGACACATTAACCCTTTACAATAACTGCATATAACAACTGTAGTTTACATCTAGACATTAATATTAATATTTTTTCAATGATTTCAAGGTGTATTTTTTTAGGGATGTGTGTTAGATCTACTAGAGCTTTGCCTGACGCACACGTCTCTTTTGCTCATCAATATGAAATAGTACTACAATTTAATAATTTTAAAATTTAATTTATTCCTGTGATGTTAAAGCTGAATTTTCAGCATCATTCCTCCAGTCTTCAGTGTCCACATGATCTTCATAAATCATTTTTATGATGACGATTTGCTGCTGCAAGAAACATTTCTTATTATTATCAATGTTGATAATGTAGCAATTGTGCGGCTTAATTTTTTGTGGAAACTGTGATACAGTTTTTTTATTGATGACCAGAAACGTCCAAAAGAACAGCATTTATTTGAAATATAAATCTAATGTAACAAGGTAAAAGTCTTTTTCTGTGACTTTTGAGGAATTTTTTGCATTCTTGCTCAATAAAAGACTTAAAATTATGAATTTTTTGAAATGAAATAAAAGACTAATAAGTATGCTAATAATATATATACTAAGCAATTATATATTTTGATGACATAATTACTATGATAAAGTGCAAATATGTTTCCCTAGTCCTCCAGCATTTTTCTAATGTTACAATCACCCCTGTAATGGTAACTTATTGTATAAAAAAATACAATGTAAAAAATGTAATGGTACAATTACTGATGGCACTTGTATAGCAGTGTGTGATATGAAAAAAAACAAACAAACATGTAAAATATCTTATAATTGCCCGTGGTCTCAAATACATGTCCACAGCGATTCACAATGCATCATCTAAAGTACCAGAAAAGCAAACGCTGGTATCCCAGTACTGGAATGTTAATGTCCTAATGCACAATTCCCCGTCAAGGCGCTTACAGTTAAATTGGACTGCGGCTGTCTCACCAAACGCTCTCAAAACAAACAACTGTGGCTTAATGCAAATCTATTGTTTTCCCACAACAGTTCTCCACCCTTGACAGGATTTGCCCCATACTATTTAATCCAACTTCATTATAAAAAGAGCCAAGCTTGCGATCCACCGTGCTTCCTCAAGTGGCCTCCTACCAGGATTCATTTCACCCTTGACAGACTCAACCCAAAATGACGAGCGACCTCCTGCTGGCCGGGCCTAATGGCCTGCTTCATAATTCATGAGTGTTATGGTCAGTGAGCTACCACAATTGGCAATGCAGCTTCCTTTTGATAACTGTTAAGTTGCAGTGTGTGCACAGATAGTGTGAACATAGCAGGGCTCCTGGGGTGAAGCCTTGTATGAATGGATGGTTGGGAGGAATTAAGGACAAGAAAAGGGAGAGAAAGATTGAATCCGTACCTCTCAGAGCTCTGCAGCGGTTCATTACCTTTCCTCCACAGGCTGACTGCTGTGGGAAAGGCCTGCGGTCTGCACTCCATGGTGACTGTGCTGCCCGTCTTGGCTTTAAGCAGAGCTCTAAGGGGGCTTCTGGAAAAGTCTGGGGGCGAGGCTGTGGAAAAACACAGGGCAAAGAGAGTCAAACTGCCGCCTCAGGCACGGATGCCCTGCACACATAACTGTTGGACAGCAGGGCTGAAAGCAGTGTCGTGTGTGTGTGTGTGTGTGTGCTCTTCTGATCTACTTTAGGACCACCTTAGCATTTTCTCTTAAAGAAACAGTTCATTGGAAATTCTGGAGGGACTTTGCTTGAATGCTATCTGTGTTGTTTTACCGATTCAGAAGGAATTATGCAAATCAGGTATAAAATTAGGGATGAATCCAATTTGCACGCTGCAGTTTCCCCATCATGCTGTGTGGTTCTGAGCGCTAGGTTTTGTCAGATGCAGTCAACCATTCTTTAATGGGATAGTCCAAAACATTTTTAAATCTTACTTTTTGGATACAATTTTTCCCATTATTTTACCTTTTCTTAGGATAAAACATGCACTTTATTTCACGTGAAATGAGATATAATTGTTGTGCTTTTCACTGAGCAAAGTTGGCGTATTTGATGAATTACTGCTGCCATCATCAACAGAATGTGTGTGTATATATATATATATATATATATACACATACACACACTCACCTATCAGTCCTTCCGGAAAAACGCGGAGTTTTTTTGTGATTGTTGCGGGCAAAAATCCTTGATTACGCGGCCCGTTTTCTTTAAAAATGCAATGGAATATGCGGGATTTCTGTTTGATGCTACTTCTTTTATCTTATTTTGTTTATTAAGTGACGATGTGACGGTAGAACATGCGACAGACAGTTATACGAGTTCGATTTGTGAGATGTCAATCACCTCCGTAAGTCTGTCTGGCGTCGCGTAATTGCGTCACTTCATAACGTTCCCATGGAAACAGGAGGAAATGGCTGCTCTTGTGTGAAGCAAACACAACATTTTTCAACCTTCTGCGAAGATATATGTGACTTTTTTGAAACGAAAATGCGAGGATTATGAAATCATGCAAACCCCGCATATTTTGCACTGAAATCTGCAATTTATGCGGCAAAAGTGCGGCGTATTTGAAAAAATGCGGCCCCGCATAAATATGCAGACTTTGGCTGATTTTGCATTGAATTCAGCGATCGCATAATCGCGTTTTTCTGGATGGACTGACCTATAGGATTATTAGGAACACCTGTTCAATTTCTCATTAATGCAATTATCTAATCAACCAAATCACATGGCAGTTGCTTCAATGCATTTAGGGATGTGGTCCTGGTCAAGACAATCTCCTGAACTCCAAACTGAATGTCAGAATGGGCAAGAAAGGTGATTTAAGCAATTTTGAGCGTGGCATGGTTGTTGGTGCCAGACGGGCCGATCTGAGTATTTCACAATCTGCTCAGTTACTGGGATTTTCATGCACAACCATTTCTAGGGTTTAAAAAGAATGGTGTGAAAAGGGAAAGACATCCAGTATGCGGCAGTTCTGTGGGCGAAAATGCCTTGTTGATGCTAGAGGTCAGAGGAGAATGGGCCGACTGATTCAAGCTGATAGAAGAGCAACTTTGACTGAAATAACCACTCGTTACAACCAGGGTATGCATCAAAGCATTTGTGAAGCCACAACACGCACAACCTTGAGGCGGATGGGCTACAACAGCAGAAGACCCCACCGGGTACCACTCATCTCCACTACAAATAGGAAAAAGAGGCTACAATTTGCAAGAGCTCACCAACATTGGACAGTTGAAGACTGGAAAAATGTTGCCTGGTCTGATGAGACATTCAGATGGTAGAGTCAGAATTTGGCTGAGAACATGATAATAATTTTGTTTTTTACTTGAGCAACAAATCAGCATATTAGTATGAAAATTCACCATTGCCATCACAGAAATACATTTTATATTTTAAATAAATTCAAATAGAAAATAGATATTTTAAACTGTAATAAACTGGGACGGCAGTGGCTCAGTGGTTCATGTAGTTGTCTACAATCCCCAGTTCCACTTGACCAAGTGTCGAGGTGTCCATGAGCAAGACACCCAACCCCAACGAGCTGGATGACACCTTGCGTGGCTGACACGCCGTCTATGTGTGAATGGGTGTATGTGAGGCAATTTGTGAAGCACTTCGGTGGCCATGGGTCTGTTGAAAGGACTATATAAATGCAGTCCATTTACCATAATATTCCACAATATTACCGTTTTTTACTGTATAAATGCAGCCTTAGTGAACATAAGAGACATCCTTCAAAAACATTAAAAACAAATGTCCAGACCCAAAAATTATAAATGTAATAAATCATAAAAATATGGCCTTGTATGAAAAGTAACTTGCTAAAAGCTTTTCTTTGTGAGTGTACCATCCCATTCAAAATCCCCCTAAACCCATTTAAGCAAGGGATGACATCAAGCCATGCTGGTATTTCACAGACAGCTGACACCAGTGTTGATATAAGTTATCCAGCTTTTAAAGTAGCCCTTATATGCAAGTCATTTTCCGAAAAGCGGTGACGTAACACTAAGAGACTAGCACTAATTGGGTCTAATGTATCTCCTCTGCCGAGAAGCAGCGTTTATCCAATGCTGTGAATGGGAAATCCGCTCATGCACTGTCATAGCGAACACGCTGTGCCCTAAAGCATTGTTAAATAGCATCTCTATTACCTAATTAGACCGTGGAGGGTTCCTGGCACCTCCACAAATATCATTAGAGAAGGCCAGTGAAGGAATTGGCTACAGTCAGAAATCAGAGGTGTCCTTAATGACCTCTACCCACTTCTACCATCTCTCTCTCTCTCTCTCTCTTTCCCCGTGTCTGTGTGTGAGCTGATGACAAAGATCTTTCTCTGGTCTTTGTCACTGTCTACTTAAATGTTTTTCCACCAGTGAACCCCTCAGTCGTGGCTTTGTCATGTTGTCAACAGAGCGGCCACAGTTTCCTCATCTCCCACCAGCCAATCAATAGTGGATTAACATTACTAAAAAGTCACAGTGCCACGCCACTCCTCTCTAAACGCAGCTGAATCAATGCTCTTATGGGAAACGTTGAAAAGAGGGCAGCTCCTTGGTGTGAGAGTCCATTTCAGGAGTTTATTTGCCTGTGAAGACTTCAGAGCAGCTCCAGTGTTCTTATATTTATAATGAACCATATTGCGGATTGAACTTCATTTTTTTCCCCTATTTTTTTTTGCAAACTACACTAACCCAGGGACTTAGCTACATGAAAAAAACAAAACAACAAAACTTCAAGACAATTTAGAAACATTTCTTTTTGTTAAATTCTAGTCTTATTTTACTCCATCTAAGGGTAAGCTAATCTTGAAGTTGATCTTAATCTTTTTTGAACTGATATGTACAGGCTGCACATAACTGAAAACACTAACGGCACTCATAAATATGATTATTTTTGCGCTTTTCGCTCTTTCTGATTGAAAAGCAAAGTCGACACATCTGAGGTCGAAGTGTGCATCCGGAGTGTGTGATTGGCTGCCGACGCTGGAGAGGCACGAGTCTACGCCATCTGGTTCTCTGCATTTATTCATGAAAAGGAACTCTTTTAACTCAATCGCTGCGCTTTATTACGCTTGAGATCGCATTACAGTGGAGAATTTCAGATGTCATTTCAACGCTGTTCCTTCAACTCTGCATGTTCAGCGTTGCGTTCGGAAATGTGCTGTAAGTGTGTGTTTCCTCAGCACAGTAACACAAAAGTGTCCTTTCATTTTCCCCACAATGCTGTCAGTGCTGGACACATTGAAAATGTAGGAAGGGAAGTGAATAACACTCATGATTTGGGAAAGGAATAACGGTCATGATAAAATAAAATACAATTTGAATATTGTTAACATTTTTCCACCTTTGAATATTTCACCAACTGCGCAATCTTTATAGCAGCACATCTGCAAAATCTTAATTTATTTGATCTACTCTAGTCTTAAATTGGTAACCAACACGTTAGAAACATTTTGAAATGCCATTATAGTTATTATTATGGATGTAACGATTCACTCAACTCACGATGCGATACGATTCATGATACAGGTTTCACAATACGATTTTCTCATGATTTTTTTTTTTTAACATTTCTACCATTATCATTTCTTTTTCACTTTGAAATTTTTTGTCAAATAATAAAACTACATTGAAAAAAAATTCCCTTCAAGTCAATGTTTCTGTCTGTCTGGTCAAGAGGCTGGACACTGGTACCTTCGCACATTAAGTAAAAGACTGTAAAATTAGTACCACATTGCCAGGCGTTTAACATTGTAATAAAGGAAAGATTTTAATTTTGTCATAATTTGTATCATTAAACTAGAAAGAGTTAAAAAACAGAACACATTTAGCAAAATATGCCATAACCATCAACAAATTATTTTAAAAATAAAGAAATCCATGTAGACATTTAGAGAAAGAGATACTAAAATAAATACAACACATGGTTGCCATGGAAAAACTGACGCACCTTGTGATCTCCGTAGCTCTCACACTTGTCGTATTAATGACTTTAACGTGAAAACGGAGTTGATTATTAGTCTACGAAGAGTCAAAATGCCACCACACCTCTGATTTGAATTAGTCAACGTCTACGCTTGCCGTCACCATGTGTTTGACAGCATGTGCACTCAGTCTATGGCACACGCGGGCGGAGCAAACCAAGCATTTTCATGTTGTGTGCATAACTATGAGTGCTCACACAAGCTCAAGTTCCTTAGGAATGAAGTGAAAACACTCGCTAGGTTCGCGCAAGTTTGTGCTCGCTCCTATTGTGCCTGTAAAGCGAGGTTCACAACTTCACAGTAGGCTATTCAAGTAAACGCCCCTGCTGTTTAAAACGTGTATCGCAACTAGTTTAACATTTCAACCGACTTGAATCGCCACACATTTTTATCGATTTTCAACCGGTTGCGAGTGAATCCTTACATCCCTAGTTTTTATAATACTTTTTAGAGGCTGATATCAATTGTGGCAAGGTAAATGAAAGTCACTTCAGAAGTCTTTCATTCAATATATATATATATATTTTTTTTGCAAATGAGAAATATACAGTATGTCATATACATTGTCTTGAAACAATATAAAAAAATCACAATTTATTTAAGGGAAATGAATAGCAGTCATGATAATATATATATATATATATATATATATATATATATATATATATATATATATATATACAGTATATATATATATATAAATTATTAGATTTTTGTTGTGGTTTCTAGAACGATTGTAAATGTTGTACTGCAACGTTTTTAAATGTAAAAATATTTTTTGAGTTTGCTGGGATGGAGCGGCAAAGTGAACAAAGGTGCAAGATAATTGGTAATGAAGAAGTATAGGAGGCTCTCTTACCCAACACCACCAGCTCAGCACCAAAATAAATGATTCCGTGTTTGTTCTCAGCGACGCACTGATACATGCCAGCGTCGGAGAGGTTTACAGAGCTGATTGTCAGGGCTCCGTTCTCGATCTGTATCCTGTCCTGTGACACAGAAGAGCAAGCAATGAAAAGCATTTAAAAATAGCTGTGCATTCAACTCAAACAACAGAGACTGAAGTAGTCATTATATGATGAATAAAACTGTTATATACATTTAACAGAGCTCTCCTGCTGAGGTTTAAACTGAGGATCATTGCACTGTCAACCCAGATCTTTTTACAACTACAACACCATTCCTCTTTGCGCTGCTTGAGTTTTACCTCGGCTGCCAGCAGTTCTCCATTCTTCAGCCAGCTGTATGAAGGCTTGGGCTTGCCATTGGCCTTACACTCCCAAAACAATCTCTCATCAATTGACAAAGCGTTGTCTCGCATCGTCTGAACCCACTGAGGTTTTGCTAAAACAGAGAAGAAAAAAAGGTAAATTTTATTGTATATTTTTATATTTGCAATATATCTCCCTCGATCTGGGGCTCCACGCAAGATCTCATCCCGTCGGGTCAAAATGATCATGAGAACGGTGAGCAAAAATCCCAGAACTACACGGAGGGACCTGATGAAGGACCTGCAGAGAGCTGGGACCAAAGTAACAAAGGCTACCATAAGTAACACACTACACCGAGAGGGACTCTAATCCTGCAGTGCCAGGCGTGTCCCCCTGCTTAAACCAGTACATGTCCAGGCCCGTCTGAAGTTTGCCAGAGAGCATATGGATGATCCAGAAGAGGACTGGGAGACTATCATTGGTAAAAACTCAACTCGTTGTGTTTGGAGGAAGAAGAATGCAGAGTTGCATCCCAAGAACACCATACCTACTGTGAAGCATAGGGGAAGGAAACATCATGCTTTGGGGCTGTTTTTCTACAAAAGGGGACAGGAAAACTGATCCGTGTTGAGGGAAGAATGAACGGGGCCATGTATCGTGAGATTTCAAGCCCAAACCTCCTTCCATCAGTGAGAGTCTTGAAGATTAAACGTGGCTGCATCTTCCCAAACACACCGCCCGGGCAACGAAGGAGTGGATCCGTAAAAAGCATTTCAAGGTCCTGGAGTGGCCTAGCCAGTCTCCAGACCTTAACGCCATAGAAAATTTGTGGAGGGAGTTGAAAGTCCGTGTTTCCCCGAAACATCATTGCTCTAGAGGAGATCTGCATGGACGAATGGGCCAAAATACCAGCCACAGCGTGTGCAAACCTGGTGAAGACTTACAGGAAACATTTGACCTGTCATTGCCAACAAAGGTTATGTTACAAAGTATTGAGTTGAACTTTTGTTATTGACCAAATACTTATTTTCCACCATAATTTACAAATAAATTCTTTAAAAATCCTACAATGTGAATTCCTGGATTTTTTTTTTTTCATTTTGTAAGTGTACCTATGATGAAAAATACAGACCTCTCTCATCATTCTAAGTAAGAGAACTTGCACAACTAAATACTTTTTGGCCCCACTGCATATGGAGACAATCATATCATAGAGACTTGGAGTTGTGCTGTTTTGATCCAGCAACTACCTAAATATACAATGATTTCAGAGTTTAGCCTTCCTGAGGACACTCTTTTATCTGATTAACTGAGAGCTCAAAATGTCAATAATTACTTGATCTATCGGTCTTCCTGCCAATGGAAAAGGTGACAGGTTTCCATTCATGCCGCCAGTTCTGTCTGAATTCATGATTGAACCATCTCACGGTTCTATAATGTGACACTCTCTTCGTGTTCTGCGCAGATTCACACACGGCCCATGTAAGCATGCCCATAGATTAATCATCAATCACTATTCCTGCTAACATCGCTTGCAGGTTTTGTGGCAACTAAGCACTTAACTGAGAAAACTGATCAGCTCTGCTCAAGAACTAATTAAATCAAGGCATCTCTGAAACGCACGAGTTAACCCTGCAACTGTAACCAATTCCTTTTTTCCGAGCTTTGGCCTTTTTCAAGGAGTCTGCATTATACAAGGCCACTCGCACTCTGAAAGCCCAGGGAAGAAAAGCTTTCATGTTTTGCATCGTTCGTGGAGGCCAGGTCTTTTCAGGAGGTCGAGGGTGCACCTGCACCTCTAACCTTCTGAATAAGTCATATATAAACCTTGAACTCGCATTCACCATAACCACATTTCATCAGGGAGCTGGACTTAGAAATGGTGTGTACACAGAAATGAGTGGAAAGAACACCTTTGAAATCCCATCTGTCCGGTGCAATAAACCAGTGCTGATTTGGACTAGAGTTTTGTTTGTATTGTACTTCACTAATGGGTTTTCCCTTCTTTGAATATATCCATTTTATATGAATCAATAACCCACCACATGTGAAAGGTTCCCAAGATATCGAATAGCTGTTCTGCCATCAATTATCACAGGAATTGTTTGCTGTTTTCATGTTGCTATTCAATCGGCAGCCACTGCACACTTTAATTCTGTGTGTATCTGGTGATCTCCACATCATTAGGACGAGGCCTGTTCTTCTAGTTATGTCGATGGAAAATGGCAGGCCCAATGGAGGCAAGAGTCATATCTCATCCAGACTCCAGACAGACCTACAATTTGTCCATATTGAACCGATGTCTCTTTGAAACAAACTTTGGTGTTAGATTTGGAACTGAAGTTTGATCTTATAAAACTAAGACAATAATGAATAAATTGGAGAGTAAAATGGCTTGATAATTAGAGCTGACCTAATTGCAGCATCTGAATTGATAATAACGAGTACCGTTATTAACTAAAATATAATGATAATGAATAACACACCAGAGGTGAGATAATGAGTTCTTCATGCATGTTTGCTATCTAATCATCTATCCATCTATCTATCTATCTGATTACTCTTGCCATTTGACATCTTTCTGGATCAACAAAAGTGTCTCAAATTATAGCATTTAGCACTGCTGAGACTTGGCACGACGCAACATTACTCTGCCAAATCCATTACGTGAGCTCAGTTTGTTTTGATCTTTACTACGCGGTCATGGACAATATAAGAAAGTCCAGACAGGGCAGAAAGTAATCAGAAAGAAATTCAATGCAACTGTAAAGTGACTGAACTGGCAGGGTTCCTCACAGTAAATGCTGGCGAGAAGTTGAATGGTTATGACAAAAATAATAAACAATAAGTGTTTTAAATTATTAGCAAGAATTAATTTCAATGACAGAAGAAACAACGTGGCAGAGACAGGCTTCTGTAACTCCTACTAATATCCAACCAATGTGTAACAGTACTAGGAAATAATAAAATGGATTAGTACAATGGGTTACACAACCAAACCATGTGTAGAACAACAGCACCACAGACACTATACTGTATATTTAGTCCAATATATTTTCAGTCTGTATTTACAATATATTCTTTCAGTAATATTACAGTAGAAATTGCGGTTACACTTAATTTTAAGGTGACGTAGTGACATTGTACTAACTCATATAAATACTGAGTAATATTAATTGACTACATATGTAGTACCCTAAACCAAACCTTAACCGTTACTCTATAGTAAGTACATATGTACTTACTGTATAGCAGTGTTGTAATCGAGACCACCTCACTCGAGTCCGAGTCGACACCGAGACCAGAGAGAGTCGAGTCCGAGTCAAGACCGAGTCCATAGAGAGTCGAGTCCGAGACCAGAGACGGTCGAGTCCGAGTCGAGACCGAGACCAGTGAGGGTTGATTACCTAATTTACTTTTATTTACTTAGAGAAATCCTTTTTTTTTTTGTTTTTTACTGAATTTACTTAGAGTTTAAAAAATATGATCAGTTTAGGGTAAAAAGGCCACATAGTAGGTGGTGTTAAAAGTAATTTTATTACAATTTTTCATGCGCAGTTGCGCACTAGAAAATCACCAATCACTGGGCGTGTCAATCAATTTAAAGAAATATTTTATTAACATACATTAATAATCATGAAAAATATTTTTAATTGAACTCGAGTGGACTTGGGAATAATTCCGAGTCCTAAAAGAAAAATGTTAGAGTACGAGTCAATTCCGAGTCCAAATGGACACTAGTCCATGACAAGACCAAGACCATTAAAATATGGTCTCGAGACCGAGTCCGAGACGAGTCCGAGTCTCGAGTACTACAACACTGCTGTATAGAGTAACGGTTAAAGGGATACTCCACTTTTTTTGGAAATAGGCTCATTTTTCAACTCCCTCAGAGTTAAACAGTTGAGTTTTACCGTTTTCGAATCCATTCAGCCGATTTTCGGATATTTAGAAGAATATCAGTAACCAGACCGTTTCTGGTCTCATTGACTTCCATAGTAGGAAAAAAATATACTATGGTAGTCAATGAGACCTGAAACTGTCTGGTTACAGATATTCATCTAAATATCAGAAAATCGGCTGGAGGAGTTGTAAAATGAGCCTATTTCCAAAAAAAAAAAAGAAGTGGATTATCCCTTTAAGGTTTAGTTTAGGGTTAGTTACTTGTAATTTTTATAGCAAAAAATTATCATACCACATTCACTAAAGATACAGTAAAAATACTATGAGTGAAATAATCATACCGTGGAAAGACAGTCGTCCTTGCACAGTGTTTTTTCCCATCTTGTTCTCAGCCACACATTCATAGCCTCCGGCGTCCTCCTGCTGGAAACTGGGAATCTCCAGGACTACATTTGAGTTCTTCATCTTCACCTTGCTGGGAAACGGCACTCCATTCGCTCTCCTCCACGTTATCTCTGGAACTGGGCTGAATGTATGAGAAACTACGGTGAGTATTCTTGCAATAGCAAAAGAGAAAAATGAAAAAGCTACACAGAGCAGAAAAAAAAGAGATAGGAAAACAGAAAAGATGAAGATAGAGAATGGGTATTTTGTATAATTTTATTATTTTGTAGATTACTGTCGTTCCTACTCATATCCCAGCTCTAACATGCTAAATGAGAAACATTTCCTCATAAGACACCATCTCATTTCTTTTTGCAAGGGAAACGTATATGGCTCATCCACTAATGGGATCAATTGAGACAGAAAAATTGCCTCAAGGCAAAAACTAGACTGTTATACGGTATTTCCCAAACAGATTTTGACAAGCATGTTTAAAAGGTGGCGAGAAGAGGTGGAGAAGGGCCAAGTTGAAAAACACATTAAGCTCAATGACAGAGTACTATTAAAAGTCGGGCATCGGTAACTACAAAAAGGTGCAGAATTCCACTTACTTCCCCAAAGCAAAACACTCAAGTGTCACAACTGATCCCTTTGCAGCCGGAACCATGTCAGAGAAATGAACCTCTATTTTCGGCTCATATTCACCCATTACGCCTATGAGAGGAAAAAAAAAAAAAAAAAACATTGTTATTTTCCCATTCATAATTCATTTACTGATTATGTATAATAAGAGAGACAACTGTATATTTTATGATAAACACGAAACAGTGTTAGTAGGTGAACGGCTTCTTCTCCCGAGAACAAGCGGCTAAAACAAAGGCAACAAATAATTCATACCAATCTGGAGTCTGACACTACGAGGTGTGGTGTTTGCTGCAGTTTTTACAGTGTCTGTAAATATTTTATATAGCCATTGTTTATGTTTACTTCATGACAAAGTATGTTTAGGACTGTGAAAGCATTTCTTGGAGAGTAAACTGGGCCGTTCATGCTAAAAAATGCTATGTAAAACTAATTTACACTGTCATGTTAAAAAAAAGTGTTTGCATGCTGTCAAGTCAAAACCAAAAGAAAGTGTTTTCTATGTTGCTATCAAATCCTAAGCAATTTAAATTGGTCTAAAGATGCATTTCTGTTTTTGTTGATTTTATATGCACTTTACATTTCAGTTTAGTTTTCATATTTTTTGTAATTATAGAATCATCTGAAGAATCAACAGATTTTGACACATTTTAGGCAGCTAACAAGGACGCATTTAACTTTAAAAGCCCTCTACACATTTGTACCAGGTAAAACATTTAATATAATGTAATTATTACAGTATGTGCATATGTATATAAACTTTTTCTTTAGTTTTAGTCAGGGGGTGGGGTGTTCATCAATGCTTTGAAATCAAGCTAATTTGAATCAGTCAACCTAACCATGAAACCAAATGAAATCCCACTGCTGTAAATTATCCTGCTACTCTGATTTATTTTCGAAAAAACAACATTTGTATATTCCACCATGGGAATGAAACTCATGTCCAAAAAAATAAAGCTTTAATGATTCAGCTTCTGCCTACTTAACTGCCTACTGAAAAAAAAAACATTGATATTTACCATCCGTTCGTAGTACCAGAGGGGTCGGGGAGCTGAGGACTTTGCCTTTAGTGATGCGGTTCACCACCACGCACGTGTAGTTACCCACATCCGAAGGCTCCACTTTGGCGATGTAAAGGTTTCCCGTCTCCTGAGAGACAAAGCGACGATTGTCTTGCTGAACAAAGTAAGGGTACTCGTTAAAGACCCATGCAAATGAGAGACCTGGAAAGGAGATGGGACACAGAACATTTATAATTCAAAACAATATGAACTAAGCTTGCCAAACACTCTTGGGAACTTAAATGAGAAATTCTTTGTACTTTTTGGTATTATCATTGGGGCACCAATTCTACTTTTCTCTCCAAAATCATCATAGGGTATGAGAAGAGAATATATATATATATATATATATATATATATATATATAGTGTATATATAGTACCCTAGTTTTGAGCCTAGCTGAAAAACGGTCTGTTTTTATGGGCGTCTCGCACTGAAGACTTGGAAGTAAACGCCCACTGCTGTGAGTGGATAACAGTTTTGCATATTATAATGGCTTTTATTGGACTAACAACATTTTCAGTTCTGAAACTTGAAAAGGATATTCTTATTATATGATGACCTCTTAGATGTCAAAAGCTCAAGGAAAATGTGATTTCTCAGTTCATCACCCCTTTAATATCTCTGAAGTATATTTTCATGAATATTTTCATTTTTTTATCACACCAGGGTGACTTAACATTAAGTTGTCTAGCTATAACTTATAAATATGATGTATAACTATGAGGAAGACATAGTTCCATAGTTCCAAATCATCCATCACAATGAGTAAAACCAAGAATATAGTTCTGATGTGCAGCAAAAGATTGTTGAGCTTCACAAAATAGAAAGGTTTGTTAGAAAATAGCTAAAGAATTGAAAATCCCCATTTCCACCATCAGGGCAAAAATTAAGAAGTTCCAATCAACTAAAGATATTACGAATCTGCAAGGAAGAGGACGTGTGTCTATATTGTCTTAATGCACTGTGAGGAGGAGAGTTCGAGTGGCCAAAGACTCTTAAAGGATCACAAATGGAGAATTGCAGTCTTGGGGTCAAAAAAAAATAAAAATAAAAAATCAAACAACCCCTACATCACCACATGTTTGGGAGGGTTTCAAGAAAAATCCCCTTCACTCATTCATGAACAAACTCCAGCATATTCAGTTGTCAGTCACGACTGAAACTTCAAATGGGATTAGGTTCTGTGGTCAGATGAAACGAACAAAAAAAAAAGCTTTTTGACAGCAAACCCACCAGATGGGTTTGGTGCTAACAGGGATAAAAAAATACCACATGCCCACAGTTAAATATACTGCTGGATCTTTAATGTTGAAAACTCAGAGCTGTTATCTTGGCAAAAGAAGGTTGCAAAAAAGCAATAATCAATAAAAGGGTGCCAATAATTATGGCCAATGTGCTTTGGAGAAAAAGATTTGATTGTGATCCCCCAATAGTTGTCCGGTGCATAGACTCAAATATCAAATGAGATGAGCTTGCACACTTAATTAAAGTCCTGTGAATTTGTAAACATTTCAAGAGAACACAATGACAGAGTGTGCCAGAGTGTGCAAGCTCTTCCTATTCAAAACACATTAAATCCCATGGAGCACACATAGGCTACAGTATAAGAGTCACGGATAAGTAATACTATAAAAGCCTTACCTCCTGCATATGATGGTGTACCACAGAGTAAAACAACCCCCTGGCCTTCTCGCACAGAGACAGCGCTTTTTGTTTGAGTTTTTAAATTCAAGTCTGAAAGGTATAGAAAAAAAAAGTCAGATGATACAGCAGTGCTAGGCGTGAGCATGAAAATGAAAATACCTCAGAGCTGATTTCTTTTATATCAGCTTAACATGTAGAGACAACCATTCATATCTTAATTCTCCCCAAAAGTTCAAACACTGCAGCTCTGTGGTTTGTTTGAGCATCCAGACCAGCTCAAAACACTGTAGCCACATCGGCTCAACCAATGTCATGAGTTTGTCGTGGGACTAGGGCTACAACAGCATCATTTTATAGTTGATTATTCTGTCAATTGTTCATAAAAGACACATTTTAAATACTATGTTATTAAAAATAAAATAAAAAAGTGTAGGCTTTAAACATAAATATACACTGATTATGACTAAGTAATTAAAAAAAAGTACACCTCTGATCATAGTAACAAGTTCTTGCCATTTCTTTATTGCTAATGTTAGACTAGTAACATGTTCATTTACATGTTTTAAATTGACCATCCAACAACAAATATTTCATCAACATTGAACCTGCTCATCATCAATAATGAATATTTTCCCACTCAAAATGAGTTGCGTTTCCTCTCGATTGTGCTCCATCTGTTCGATGTGCATGCGATTGTGAACTGTGAAGTTTAATGGTGAATCACTGTCTGGATCTGCCTTTATGCAAAGTAGAAACACTTCTGTGAATTTTCAAAATTTACATATCAGGATACGACTGTCAAATGTAAGATGCAGAGGGTGAAATGAAATGAAAGGAAAAACCAACATCAGGTGACACCATGTTCTGCCAGAACAGCTTCCATGAACCTTAGCTTTGATTCTACAAGCCCCTGGACCTCTACTGGTGGGATATAGAACAACATACAGTATATTCCCTCATTTGGTGTTTTGGCATTGGTGGAGAACGCCGTCTGACACGCTAGGGTTGAGATACGGTGACTGCGATGGCCATTGCACCATTTGTATTCTCCTCAAAACATTCATTAACCTCTCGTGCCCTATGAATGGGGACCATCCTGAAAAAAGTCCACTCCCATCAGGATAGAAATGGTTTATCATAGGATAAAGTTCCCTCTAAAGGGCCCGATATACTTGGAGTTTTACAAAACGTAATTTCGAACAAAATCTGTCACGGACACACCTAGCAACACACCCCAGCCAGCATCAACTCAGAACACCTGGTCACGCTCATCATCCCCTGAATTCCGATTACTCTACCCTATCTAACGACCAATTCGTACGAATTCGTACGAGTGATTAAAAAGTGGCTAATTCGTATGACCTCACTCGTACGAATTCATAAGATTTGTCCAAACCCACGTGATGGTTACGTTTAGGGGCGGGGTCAGGGGTAGGTCATTCGTACGAATTCATACGAATTGGCCAATTCGTAAAATATGTACGATTTAGCAAAATCTTACTAATTTGTACGAGTGAGGTCGTATGAATTGTTACGAATTAGCCACCTCGTAAAATTCGTACGAATTCCCGTGAGATCGGGTGGGATTACTCACCACGCTGCACACAGGATTTAATGCTGCGTTCTAGGCACGTAAATCACGACTTCAAACCACGACACGACTTTGTAGCATTGCAGGCCAGTCACGCCAAACTACCTGAGCGTAAGGAATGGGCTATATGCACGCATAAGTTCCGCATTTGACGCAAGGATGCTCGTCCATTTCCGGTTGTGTAGATTAAAGCGGAGGAGAACCGGAGAAAACGGGATTATGGCAGAGTCTTCAATATTTACTGTCCTCCCGTCTTTGAAACGAAGCGTACATACGTTTAGATGTAATTTTATATATAGTTATGTTTATTTAATATAATTTTAAAAAGAAGCATAAACACAACGAGGGGTGTCTGTTTTATCTGTTTTTGTGACTAACGTTTCATTAGTATAACCATGGAGTATAAAATTCAATATAAATTCTCGGTATTGCATTGGACTCTATGATCGGCGGAAGTTATCGAGCATCCTTAATCCTTCACCGGAAATAACGCCGTGCATAGAGCCCATTGTGGTAGCTAGCTGTAAACAAACCAGCATGGCGGACTTTACGGGGCTTATGCGTAATCATTTCTGTCGCCAAAGGTGCTTACTCCTTGTTTATTTGAGGAAAACGGAGGAGGAAAAATAGCGCATGAGGCAAGATAAGCTGTTATACCTTTTATTTTACTTTATTTGTATATTTGTATTTGGTATTAATTTATCCTTGCACTCAATGGACTGAAAACTAGTTAACGTTCTATTGCCCTAAAGTGTATTCTCACCGTGTTCCACCTGCAGAAACACTGCATCCGTAGGGGCTGCCATTGTTGTTTGGCGGGCTATGTGAGGTCAGAGCTCATAACTGGGAGTACATGGCTCTAGTACGAGTTCACGGGTGGGAAGTCACGGGTTTGACTGCAGTTCCAGTGTACTTTCACAGGTATAAGGTTGCAAAAACAAGGGTAACAGGTTGCCTGGAACGCGGCAACGCGGTCACCCTTCTTCCTCATGCTCTCTGGTTCCAGGATTCCTGTGTACTTGCAGCAAGTATACTCAAGTTTATCACTAACCACTCTCCTGTGTGTATTTCCAAGCAGCCATTGTGTGCGGTGGTGCTTCAGGATTCTCCAGTCTGATTCTCCGAGTTCTTCTGTGCATCTACGGACCTTCTATCTCTTCTCTGCATTCAAGTAAGGAGTTTATTCAAGTCCGCTCTCAGTTCATGTGTCTTCAGGTATTCCTATTCAAGTGTCTACGCATCTGCATTCAAGGTCAAAGGGCATTCGTGTCTGCCTTCAAGCCCTGATTTATCATCAAGTCTACCTCAAGTATTCAAGAGACTGTTTATGTTCCAGTTATTCACTGTTTCCTGTTTTCAGTTCTGTGTGGATCTCAAAGCCATCTATAAGATTGGATATTGCAACAGGTGTATAAATAAAATCTGTTAAAGGTGTAAAAACTTTTGCTGAGAATATTCTCACCCCCATGTCATCCTAGATGTCCATGTCTTTCTTTCTTCAGTCAAAAAGAAATTAAGGTTTTTGATGAAAACATTCCAGCATTTTTCTCCATATAATGGACTTCAGAGGGAACCAAACGGTTCAAGGTCCAAAAGACAGTTTCAGTACAAACCGCAAACTGTTCAAAGGGCTTTAAACGATTCCAGATGATGAATAAGGGTCTTATCAAGCGAAACGATTGCTCATTTAATAAATAAATAACAAAGTTTAAGTTTAATAAGCTCAAATGGTCGCCTTGCTCTGTTCTGTGACGCACGTTTGTGATTCTCCTGTTCGAACTCGTTCATCAAAATGAACGAATCTTTTTCCGAGTCATTTGGTTCATTCACCGAACGAAATGAATGAATTTACTCGGAATAAGATTTGTTCATTTTGATGAGCGATTTCGAACAGGAGAGTCATGAAAGTGCATCGCAGTACAGAGCAAGGCGAGCATTTGAGCTTATAAAACTTAAACTTTTTTTTTTTTAAATGAGTGATCATTTCGCTTGATAAGATCCTTATTCATTGTCTGGAATCGTTTAAAGCCCTTTTAACAGTTTGCAGTTTGTACTGAAAGTGTCCTTTGGACCTTGAACCGTTTGGTTACCAGTGAAGTCAATTATATGGAGAAAGATGCAGGAATTTCTTTTCGACTGAAGAAAGAATGACATGGGCATCTTGGATGACACGTGGGTGAGTAAATTATCAGCAAAAGTTTTTTGAAAAGTGAACTACTCCTTTAACCGTATTCCTTGTGTCCTCATCCTTGTAGTGTGACAAAATCAGGCCAAGACCAACTTCGTTTGGCGTTTGTTTTGGTAGTTAAAAAAAAAACTTGCCAAACCAAACTTTCCAAAAAAGTTTGCTATGTCTGGTAAACACCTTCTTTTCTCACGTTGAAATCTTTTCCGGGTTAATTTCTTCTTTTCAGTCCATTGAGGTCAGATGTAGGCGAATAAAACACACTAGAGAGTCACATTAAAGTTGCACTTCTGATGAACCAAGAACACCGAAACTGTTTTTTATGTTTAATGCGGTAAAGAATGCTTGATTTTAAGCAATCTATTGTATAAAGTGCTATAAAAATTGACGTGACTTCGCTTGAGTGCCAAATTGCAGATCTTGTGCAAACATATCCATGTTGCTATGATCAGATGCTTTCTGTTTACACATGTTTTTATTTTGTTATTGTGAGGAAAGCACACAGCAGATCTTTACATATTCATCTAAAAGTTGCTTTCAGCAGTGTGGGCGGCATCGGATGTTCGATAACAGTATACTGCTGGTCACATATTTCACATTTTATTTTACCCTAAGTGAAGAATGAAAAAGAACTTCACTTCACAGTATATTGGGGCATTAGGGGACATGTGAACCCAAACCATGCCAGCAAAATACCCTCCACAGCATAACAGACCAACCAGAGGTTACTTCAATTTGTCAGTCATCTCTATGTCTTGGTCTGATTCTTCTTTTTGCTTTGAGTGTCTGGGGGTTCAGACGTCTTTCTTTTTCTTTTCCCTCCTTGTCTCAACTCATATTGGCTGCTCTGGTCATCAGATGGTCTGACCTCACTGTTGTTTCTGTGAGAAGGTCCAGGCCGGTCATCATCTCTGATGGAGGAAAAAGGTCAGCAAGTGTTCTTTATCCTGATCTGACCTCACCTTAGGTCATCATCTCTGAATGTTTCTTGCAGGATGCGAAAACATTGAGCTGAGGGAATCACTTAAAGAATCAGAATCGAAGTGGTGGTTTGATCTCTTCCTTTTCCATTCTCCGCATTCTGACCTGCCGGAAGTCTTTCTTTTTCTTTTAATGCCCTCTCACATCTCAACGTCTACTTCTTGAGCTTTGGTCAGTGGGTGTTCTGCTCTGATCTGATCTCCCTGTTGTTGACCCAGTGAGATGCTTCATATTGTTCATAATCTGTGCTTGGCCCACCCATAGGTATCTCCTTATGTGTTGCCAGTGGGTTATTATCAATATATATAACTGATAAAATGCTCCAAGGGGTGACACATACAAAGTGAAGGATCAGACATCTGAATTCAAGGCCAGCATGGAGACCAATGGATTGTGTTGAGCACCAGGTGTCTGGGGATATTACAAGAGTTGATTTAGATTTTGCTGACTCCATTTTTATACACAAATGGTGGCCAAAACCATGGAGGTACGTCCCAAGAGATCCATCCGGTCATGCTCGCCAACAATCTCTAAATTAATCACATATTTCATTTTGTCCATAAGCGTTTCATCATCAAAGTCAACAAAGAAAGGAAAAATGAGATTGTAGGGGAAATTAAAAAAATAAAACGAATGTGGAAGGCCCCATGAAAAGAGTCACCATGATTTATCTCAACTGGACTGCTGAAATAGGCAAAACCGCTATTTTCAATAGAAGTCAGTAAATACTGACATACCGTCTTAACTACTGCTGTTATGAGCCTTGGAAACTCTTCTAGAGCCTGCTAAAATAAAACATTTTGGCATAACCTTTCGGTAAACAATTGAAGTCATTCAGGCTATAAACTATAAAATGAAGGTTTTCTTAGAACATGGATACTTGTCCCGGCTGCTGTATTCGCTGGTCTGAAAATGCAATAAACAGCACACATCTTTCAAAGCACTTTACAGAGCAAGCCACATAAAACTATATGCTTAAAGCGCTTAATGCAACACTTAACATGACACATCCTCACAGTTTGGGCAGCTTGGATTGTGAATTTTTCCCGCATACTGCTCACACTGTGACCTCCGCTATTTTCCAGATGCATTTTATCCATTAAAATGAATTATTCACGGCTGTAAAATGATACGACTGGCAGAGATTGTCCATACACAGTGCACAGACCTGATTAATTAATAACAACATTTGTTTATTTTTATTACTATTAGTTCAATCGTGACAACTCTCGGAGTGAATTATTAACCATCATATATTGGCATGGGGCATGGAATGTACATATGCTCGATTTTTTTTTTTTTTTTTCGATTTTCTTGCTGCGAGAATATATTGAACCCCGCCCCTCCTCCATAGCTGATCTCTACATGTGGCACTAGGGAGGAGGAGGGGTAAACCAAATTTTTCATAATTGCGCAGCAGGGCTTTTGCAGGATAGGGTGCGAATGGTTGTGTTGAATAGGAATATATTAGGGGTGTAACGATATTCGAACCGAACCGAAGAAACACGATACAGAACCCACGATTCGAATCGCGATACTCTCATGGCGTACCGAACACACCCGCCCCGTTACCCCGGCCCCGCCCAGCCCGGCTCGTTAAACCTGGAATGTGTACACAACGAATTCAGTTTTGCAGCCTAACCACCATTAACACCAAATAGCAAGCTCTGTGTTTTGTTACTTTCGAAAATAAGCAAGGTGTAATATTTCAAATTCTGACTATTTGATCACCAAATTCCAACAATAAATGCCGTTTTGGCGCTCTTTGATGTGGCGTGACAGATCACTGCTCCTCATTTCAAGCGGCAGCGCGGAGCGCGAGTAAACGCGACCAACTCTTCCTCAGTTACAGTATAAACATGAATGGACACCAGAAGGTTTGAAATATACAGTATACTTACTGAAAGACTCGTGTAATCGCTCAATCAGTGTTTCAGCAGCGGAAAGACGTCAATAAAACAGCAGAGCTTGTCACTAGCATTATATTTACCTCAGCAGGCAAGTGATTCAGTGTCCACAACTTCTTGGCTCATAGAAAAATTAACTCTTGCACTAAATAAATGCAATATATTAGCCTATGCATTATATTTTACTTAACCTGTTAATGGTATCTTGATTATTTAATGTATGTTTAAAATAGATTTCATGAAAATGACAGCAACAAATTAGAGTAAATACATAAGTTAATGCAAAAACACATGTTTATGCTAAGTTTACATGTTTTCATACAATGTGTTGGGTGTTGATTATTATATCTAAAAAATAAATACCATCTGAAGGCTAAAAGTCTAGGCTTTGTTGTTAACCTTTAATGTTAGTAAGGTGGGGCTCCCTATATACAGTAGTTTACAGCAGTAGCAGATTTGTTTTTTTCAATCCTTGCAAAACATTTAATTTTAATTGAATTAATTTGAAGACAATTTTTTTTGAAACCACTGTTTCATTAAAGCCCCCCAAAAAAGAATAAAAAAAAAAACTAAACTGAACCGAGACGTCAAAACCGTGGGAAAACCGAACCCTCAGTTTTGTATATCGTTACACCCCTAATAATATATATATATATATATATATATATATATATATAATTTTTAGCAATCTATATAATTACAGTAGACTGATCTCAAAAGAATGTGTGCATAATGTTTAATCATACACTACATATATCTACTTTCGGATATATGCAAAAGAACTAAAATGTAAAAGCTTTTGCACTTTAGAAATGTAAAACAAACCTTAAAGTCAGATAAATGTACACACAATTTAGTACATGACATATACTAAAATGTACACGACAATTTGAGTTTCAGTATAATATTATATATAATTTTTTTTTTTTTTTTAAGTGAAATTAGTTAAATGTGTTAAATGTAATGGAGTTGAACATTTAATTATTGTCATTATTTATTAAATGCAATAAAAATCAACAAACACAAATTCCATAAAAAAAATGTATTATCAACTCTAAAGTTGTTTAAATGATATTAATAACGTATTTTTCAGTGTCTATACAAAAATACAAAAATGTATGTGCACTAGAGCCAAAGATATAATCCATATAACAACCGTTTATCTTCATAATCATTCATTTTCCTGTAGAATCTATATTTATGATTGCATTTGCAGCATTATAGGTGTTGTTAACTCATTTCACTCATTCTTTAAGCTAGCCCAGTATTGGCAGCATCCACTCTAACACCTTTCACCCAGCATTGAGCGGCAGAAGCAATAATATAGCATGCTAACGCACAGTCGATGACTCACATGCAAACTGGAGGCTCGATCTTCTGCTAAGAATTGCTCCCTGTGGGTTGAAGGCAGTGCATTGGTATATTCCTCCATCCTGGGCCCGGTCCAGACTTCTAATGACCAAATTCCCCCCAGATAGCCGCCGACGGGAATCAGTAGTGAGATTAATCAATGTGCCGTTCAGAGACCACCTACAGACACACAAACAGACAGATAATAGTGCACACACAGCTCAATGTGTTATGATAACTGCTGATTTTGAGTGATAATAACCTTTGAAATTGATTTTGTTTTGGATGTACAAATGTCACGTGGAATATCAACGTATCATTACAAAGCTGAATCAGATTGGTATTACATTTCATCCCTGCTTCATTTCAATAAGAAAAGAACTATTTCAAAACCTGAACTGCCTATGAAGATCCAGCTGCATTGTGGAATGGAGAATAACCCATCTACATTTTTCTCATTGAATGTCCTGTTTGTCTCGGAAATGCATCATATTATGGAGGTAAAATGAATTGCAAACGGAAATTCCTGTTGACGTCTTATGCTAAAAGATTTTACTGCAGCTCCTTTTGCAGCTCCTTTTCATTGTGTGGTGATTAGCACCGGAGAGTATCATCAATTCCACTTCCTCACACCTCATCTACGCCTATCATTAAGACCCAAGCCCACCTGAGGCTCTAACTAGCATGCAATTCAGAGGCCAGCCCACTAATATGGACAGATTTTCAAAGGGCGCAAGATCATTTGAGGATCCTGAGGCTTCACTTGTCATTTACTCTGACGGGGCGTCAGCTGGTTTGAACTCTCAAGTGTCTGCACACCCCAGGAACAGATGCTGAGAGAAAAAAAGGGCCAACTGTTATGCGTTAATTCACTAGCAAGCGTCTTAGCAAGTCTTATATATAATGTGTTTGACTCCAGGGCCGCCCATTGTTCACACAAATATTTGAAGGCCCTATAACCTTTCCAGTTATTCACGATTTACTAAATAAACACTAAGGCCGTGTGTCCACCAACACATTTTTAGCCTAGCTGTAGGCGTTTAAAAGCGTTTTGGCAGCGCAGCGTTTATTTTTTTAGTTGAGACGCTTTGCTTATTATGATACGGAATATCCACAGACGTATTACTAATATATCATTTCGCAGCGTTTGTTTCTGTGTTTTTGTTTCTATTCATACTTTGCACGTGACGTCACAAGCCTTGGCTGGCGGGCAAGAGCGCCGCTCTCCAGCAACGAAACCCAGTAAACTAGTCAAGGATCTTGCCAGGGCGTCGCCAGTGTTTATACAAAAGTTGGTGTTTCGAGATGTAAATGACACGCCAAATAGTTGTTGTGCGATTGGTTGCACTAACCAGATGAGATAAGCAACCTTCACAGTATAACGTTACACGTCTGTGCAGTGATCATTCCATCACTCATGGTAATTTCAACATTTGTTTGAATGGAATGGGTGTATGATCATGTAATTAATCGTGTCTTTAAAGCTACACTGTGTGATTTTTACCCCCATCTAGCGGTGAAAAGGTATATGACCTTCCAGTGAATATTACTTTCTGTTCCTCTCAATTCCGATTTCTTTTTAACTCTTACGGTGGCCAGTGTAGTCCAGTTATCCAGTTCGACCTCGTCCATGAGTGTTAACTCAAACGTAAACGCGAAAGGTAAAGCTTGAATTAACGGGTATGTCCCTCTTTGGCTACTGTACTTTCAAGATGGAGGGGCAACATGGCGACCGACATTAGAACCCCTTACCCGTATGTATTTTCAATGGCATATTATACACTCACGAGAATACTTTATTACTTGAACGAATATATATTTTTGTGTGTTTTTAGCTAAGAATAAATTAAAAGAGTTACACAGTGTACTGTAGCTTTAAGTTAACCTGTAGTTTCGTCAATCAACGCCACCAGCTGGTTCGGCGAGTCAGCCGTTCGTGTTATGAGGCTAACTGTACGTTTACTCCACCGCCACGAGAGCGGCAAAATTCATTGAAAAGTGAATGACTTCTCGCCGGTGGTGGTGTAAACGCAGCTGCCGTATTTTGCTAACAACAACAAAAATGTGATAGATTGTTTTGAGGTTTGTGATATCTATGGTTTTCAATGAGAACAGTAGAGCTAGATTATTTATGGAGAAATTATTATTGCTCGATTATCAAAAAACAAAACAAATTTAACACAATTTAACTACCTTCACCTTGGAGTTAATCCTAATCTATAGTTATGGAGCTAGCTCGCTAACAGACTTGATAGCTACTAGAAAGACCTGGAACTACAGGACTCTATGTTGAAAAAAAAGGTTAAAAAAAGGGACAAATTAACAACTATCACACAAAAAATATTCAGGTAACAACACACAGTATTAAGATTCCAGAGTATGTAAGAGTACATATTCAATACCATACTGCAAACAAACAACAACTAATATTTCAGATGGACATTTTTTAGCCTTCCGCACAGATTTTTTTTTCATGAGAGCAACAGAAAAAACAGGTGCAGTTTAGACGAAACATTACTGACAAGGAAGGACATGAGCTGGTTACCACCTCCCACACTCAGAAATTCACAAATTTATTCTTAAGAATACACATTTGCTGTCAAGTGCGGCTTTACAGGATGGCACAACAGGTTAACCACACATCCATAACTGAGCATACATAACCGAATAGTACTTGACTTGATGCATTGGTTCCAGTCAAAGCTTCTTAACGTTTTCAATCATGTATATTTATTATCTTTTCTTTTCACCATGTTTATCTCTAAGAGCAGCTGTATATGTCAGGAACATAGCAAGGATCAGGGTAAGGGCCAAGAACATAATGCTCTTGACGTCTCAGAATGAAATAGCTTTTCTGCTCTTTTCAAATAATCAGCGGCTTCTAATGCGAAACCTTTCGCGAGAGATGCAAATAAGAGCCGTTCGACGTCAATAAGCGATTTCCAGTTGGGTAAAAATAGTAGCGAGGCAAGTGAGCCCCGATCAAGGGCACTTGACACACGGTGGCAAATAGGTGACATCCGCGCAGGCTGAGAAAGAAGAAAACGGAGATCAAGTGAAGTGGGGTTACGTTTGCCTCAGGGCTTTTCTGGAAAGTGCCGTGTCTCCGGTGTGGCTATACGGACCGGTTGAACTTGACTCGACCCTGCTGTTCATATCAATTTTATATGAGGTGGGGGTGGCATCATTGATATGACTGCTGGTATGGGCTCCAAAGCACCAGGCTCATCTGCTCATCCCTCTGCTCTACTCATGACGCTGAGACCTTTAACACCTGTGGACCGCCCTGGAGACCAATCTCTGGCTCTGACACACACACACACACACACATTTACAGGCCAGAGGCTCTCAATATTTTTTATTTTTTTTTGATTACAAACAAGAACACAAATTTATGGACTGAGCTAGAACACTAGAGCTGAGTGATATATTGAATATTACCCATATTCATGATGATTACGCTTATAATATAAAATGGCGCAACCTCAGATTATGTCATTGGACTAATCAAAAATTCCTTTTGACTTTTGAGTAGGAGAGAATTAAAGCATGTTTTAATAAAGCTTATGAATTAAACTTAATGCCTGTTCACACCGGGACGAATTTCGCGCGCGATATTCGTCGACGTTTAACGCCTCGTGACTAAACAATGGGCGCCAATGTGAGTGTTCACACTAGGGGTTTCATCAACTAGTCGACTAGTCGACTGTCACAACCACTAGTTGGCGCTGTTGGCCTTAGTCGACTAGTCGGAAACAAAATGATGACATATATATAGATATATTTTTTTGTTAACTATCCCTTAAAATACAAGCGGCAGTACTATTTACTATAAGCACTATAAGACGCACCTTCAATGACCTATTTTAGAACATTTTTCAAACCTTTTACTGGGTTTGCATTATGCATCCACTAGATGTGCTAAAGGGAATGCAGCGAGTGCGCGGCGTCGGAGGTGAGGCGTTTATTTAGTAAGCGTGAGCGTGGGGCGGGCACGTAACTTACATTCGCAGCCTGCTGACAGCAGTGTCTGTTCGTGTGTGTGTTAGAGAGAGCGCTCGTGAGCGGGAGACACTCATAACCTGATTTATACGAGGTTGAACTGGCCGTGTGACAAAGCGGGCATGGACACGAGCGCGAGCAATTGATCCATATATAATGCGCTCCGGATTATAAGGCTTGAGAAAAGGCCGGATTGAGAAAATTAAAGGCTTTTAAGTGCGCTTTATAGTGCGGAAAATACGAGTACTACTCTCGCTTTTAGACCAGCACGCGACGTGTTTAATATAGACGCATATTAGCCTACACCATATTTTCTCTCAAATGTTTGCTTTCACTTTAGACATAGCCAATTCTGTTTATGTAAACATTGTGTGTATTTAACAGTATTAGCATAATAAGACTTGAAAGATAACTTAGTCCATTATTCAGGCGCTGTTTGACAGGCTTCTAATGCCTGTGAGCGTGGGGGATATGCCGCGCGCTCAGGAAAGCGCACGTTAGAACAGCGCGTGAATTAAATGTTTAACCGGCAAGGCTTATGCAAACAATGAACTTTTGTAAATTGCAGTGTCCCGTACCTATTCCTTAACGTGTGATGTGTAGGCTACGTGGCGTTGTACAGTTGAGACAGAGGCGCCAGAACTGATAGAATGCACTGTAACACGGTACTACTACCATATTTCTTCAAAAGCAGATCGTGGAGACATTTACTATTCGTGATGTCGCACACCCCTAAAATAAACCATTTAACGACTAGTCGACTAGTCGTCGACTGTTAGACTAGTCGTCGACTGTTATGCAAAACTAGTCGACTAGCAAAAATCAGTAGTTGTGAAACCCCTAGTTCACACCGACGCAAAAAACGGCACGCTTAAAAGCGTCATTTTTTAAAAAAAACGCCTCAGGTTCGTTTTTTGGGTTTGACGCGCCGCGTCAAACCTATCCGACCAACGAGATTGGCGGGTTTGCTCACGTGTCTGGTACTTCTGAAGTTACAGTAAAACACAACTTGGGGGCGCTCAAACACAAAACGTTCTTGCCGAGCACACATACGGCGAAGAAGAGATAAGATACCTATGGGCAAGATGAATGTTGAGCTGCTGGTCTCGGAGCATAAAGAGCTATATGATAATATTTATATTAGTATTTCTGTAATAATAGTATAGTATAGGGTGACC